ACTTTTGGTCCCGGAGAGTAAATGAATTCATATATTCCCTATATTTACAAATTATCCCTGCACTCAAATTCACTTAATTTGTCTGTCTACTCGTCGTTATATTGAATAGTTTCTGCTGATAACATGTCTACACTCGTGTCTACACTAGCTCCCTATGTCAATACTGTCCATTTACAACTCTGTTTTTGCACATTTACATTTAATCTTTCATATTTAAGACTAGTAATGCTTAGTTAAATCCTGGTTGTTTATATTCACATTCTTAGTTTTGATATTTTTAGTGCTTATTTACTTTGTATTTAATATTATATTGTGTTTAAATTTGCTAATATTGTGTTTTTTGCTCATATTGTGTGTTTGGACAACCTGCTGCTGTAACGCCACAATTTCCCAGTTTGGGATCAATAAAGTAATTCTATTCTATTCTATTCTGTATTCGTATAGTCTGGTATTTTCTTCCGCCAAAACCAACTTGCTAGCTGGTGATGGCTAACGTGTTTGGCGGATTGTTTTGCCTCCAGCTGCCGCCAAAAAACATCAGACTGTTTACCAGCACTCAAAGGGTCTATGTAGCAAGTTCAACATACCCATGCTTTCTATGATAAAGGGATATTTCTGTAATTTTGAAGTAAGGTTCTTGTAGGAGGTTCTTGTCAATAGTAGTAAGTGTATTAGCCACAGGAGATGTTGGTCAGCTAATCCCCTCTATTGAGGAAACCGCAGGAGTGCAGGCATGGAAGCTAGGCTACACTTTGTAGCAGACTTGGACGCTTCCTCTGTGAAAATTACAAGCTAAAAAACGGTAAATGTACGCTATATTGAAAAGCCGCTTTTTCCTTTTTGGTTCCTACAGACTTCTGTGTTTCTGGGATTTTCTTTGAGTGCCACAATGAGGTTACTGTTGAAGAATTTTCATGATTTTCTTGTTCCTAATAAGTTGAATGGACAAAGAAGGGATCCACATGCCCCCTGGTATGTAAGATGGCCAGCTCCAGTCCGTGTACTTTAAACACAAAGAACATCAGCATTGCCCTTTATGTTGACTTTATATTTAGAAAGCAATGTAACTGTGTAAAAAAGCTTTGCAATTCAATAGATGACGCCGTCCACCGTCAGAGTACCTCCAGCTCGGAGGTCGAGCATGTGCTCTAAAGAAAGCCGTTCGGCAGTGTTGGTGGGAGGGAAGCAGGTGAGGGATCGGGTCTTTGTCTTACTGATGGTTGTGGAGCCCGAACAAGGCTTTCATTCAGGGGAACGTGTCAGAGAGGAGAATGGATTTACAATAAGAATAACTCCCACACACACCGACCTTCAACCAGAGAAGAATCCAGGAATAAAAGAGAAGACAGGAAACAAGCCTTCTAACAAGCATTTCCAGGAGGTAACAATGCTTTCATTCCAATGGATTATTGGCTCAAAGGATTGGAAAGTAACATCTATTTTTAATACTTGTGTTCTGCCTTGGTAAATAAATGAGCTCCTTATTACTGAGGGATTAGAAATGACAGTGGAACACACTTATCATGTTTCTCTAATCAGATGTCATTTTCTGAGCTCTTAGCTAAGCTTAGCTTGAACCTTAAAGACAAAGCACTCTGCATGTTCTATGCGTATGTGGTGGCCGGTCATGTCATGTTTGCTGTTGTGTGCTGAGCGAGCAGGCTGAGGGTAACGGACTCCAACAGACTGGACAAACTGATCCACAAGGCCACTGATGTTGTGTTGGTGAAGTGCGACTCTCTGACGGTGGTGTCAGAGAAGAGGATGCTGTCTAAGTTGCGTGTAATCACGGACATTGTCTACCACTCACTCAACAATATGGTGGTCAAAGACATGAGCAAAAGAATGAATCCCCCCCCCCAGATGCACCACAGAACACCACAGGCAATCATTCCTGCCTGTGGCCATCAATCCTTTACAACTCCCCCCCCTGAATGTACAAACACTGTCCGACCCTGGACTTCTTCACACTGATGATTGTAAACTCCTCCCTTATTCATTGTTTATTCTTTATTTACTCTGTGCAATACCCTTGTTATAACTTACTGTTAAATACTGCGCTTTTGTATTTGTTGCTCCGCTTTTTTAAACACAACTTTATTTCTATGATACTGTTTTCTTATTTTATTTACAATAGATTCATGTTCCTGTACGGCAACTGGTATTTTGTGTGTAACGACCACATTTCCCATGAAGAGTAATAAAGTATTTCTAATTCTTAAAAGGTTGAAGTCATTAGTATTATGCAGATTTTGCTTTTTAATCAGCTGATGACAACAAATTGAAAATCTTCTCAAAAACCATGATTTGTAATAAGTGTCATAATCATTGCAATGACATGTCTTTTCCAATGATTCTTTCAGTTACCGATGTCAGGTACATATCGGTGTGAATCCTATATTAAATTATCAGCACTGCCAGTGCTTGTTTTACTGTACGATACCCACCATCACAAACTTCAAATGCAACAACATAAAAACCACTTCAGACCACATTTTCTTGATTTGACTTTAATCTTCCAGCATTTAAGTAGAAATACTCGAGTCTTACAGATGATTGCCTCATGTCATTGTAGCTGTATTTATGCATTTTGCCATCTTGAACAAAAAGCAGTAGCAAAACAATGCGATCAGGTCTAAAGCAAGTATTAGTGAAAAATGGTGGAACTTTTCTGCATGGTAAAAAAATCACAAATCCAGGCCTGACCTCGGCTGACCCTCATCTCCTTATCGACCGTTTTCTCATTTACATGCCACACAGCACTTACAACAAGCAGGTAACCATGGATACACTGCACTGGAAACATCATCTTCACTCTCTTCGTCTTCAGTAGACTCACACCTTCATGTACCTGTTCAAATCTGTTTCCTCTTGATCTTCTACCTCTGTTTTTCTGTCTTCTTTCCCTCAATGACAATCTCCTTTTCTTTTCTTTTTCTACATAGATCAGCATCTTTTCTGCTGTATCACAGCTCTGACTACAATGGGACAGTTCCCAGTGGGCAGTCACCATGGAAACCAAGAGGCCGTCTCTCTGAAAAAAAAAAAAAAAGGAAGAAAACTCAAATCATCCTGTGCTCAGACAGTGGTAATCTGATCCACTACTCGGGTGCTGTCGTTCATTTCAACACACTCCACTTCCTGTGTCTGCCCCTCACCTTCGGGTCCGTGTCCCCGGCTCTTGGAGGGGGGGCAGGAAGGTGAGGAGGGTGGGGAGAAAGGCAAGCGTGTGCAGGGCCGAGCAGCCGGCCGTGAGGGTGAGGCAGCGGAAAAGTGTGCGCGTGAGGTTTGAGCGGACGGAGCCGACAGGCACCAGGGCGGCGCTGTAGCAGATGAGTGTCTGTAGAGAGGGGACTCCGTGTCTCTCTAGCGCCACTCTTACCCAGCGAGTCCGGCTGTCGCCCCGACCGGAGGCGAAACCGCAGAGGAGGGGGCCGCTGCAGTCCGCTGAGTGCCCCAAGGCAGATATCAGACACAGCACAGACATGCAGTCAAGCTCCACCCCCCATAGAGTCATGAAACCCAAAACTCCAAACTGCACCGAGAGTAGGGTGAGGCCGAGCCACACGGAAACAAGGGGCTCCACGACCGCCAGCGAGGACAGACCCAGAAGGAAGAGCACCGCCAGCAGTGAGTGTCTGAGAGGGGAGCTGACGGCCGCGGCGTAGCGGTCCAGGTAGACGAAGGAAGGGTTGAAGATTAAGAAGCGCACACGCGAGGTCAGTGACAGGCGTCGCAGCGTGTCCAGCAGCACTGACATCTCCTCCCGCTTGTTCTCCGTGGTTTTGGCGACAAGGAAGATCCTAGACGCCGCCACGTCAGGCTCCTCCCCCTGACCCCGCTCCGCAAATATAATGTCGTCCGCGAAGTGCGCAAACTGCGGCTCGCGTAGGAAGGAGTGGCGGAGCGTGTGGGTGAAGTTTTCCCGCGGCTGGCTGGTGGACTGGTTGCGGTCCGACAGGTAGTTCAGGTACGCCTCCAGCCAGCTGATTCGCTGGAAGCCTTTGGCGTATTCGAGCAGGTCCCGCTGCACGGAGGCGTTCCAGTAGGGGGCGCTTTCATAGATGTAAAATCCAATGACGGGGGAATAGGAGCTGAAGTACCGCTGCTGGGCACGGGTGTACAATACTGTCGCTGTATCCATGGCAACCAGTGCACTGGGGTCTGAACCCTGGGTCACCTGTCGACAAAAGAAACATATTAGAGCTCGAACAGACAATTAAGAGTCTCACAGAGCTGCAGCGCAAAAAAAAGAAGTATTTTGTAGTTCTCTTCCCTACTCACCTGATAAAGGACTACAAGTATGGGATGTCTGCAAACACATGAATGTAGGATAATGATTCAGTTAGTTGTCTTACCTGAAGGAAGCCCATCAATCCAAACGAGATGTAAACCAGATACAGCAGAACCACAAATGGTTTGACATAGGTGTTAGTGATCCAGTCTCCATAGCAACGCCTCACACACCCCAGCAAAAGGTGAGAGTCCGGCGGATGATGCTCTGTGTTAGCAGTTGAATGTGTGTGCGTGTGCGTGTGCTGGTGTGTGTGCGTGGAGTTAGCCACATGGCCGTGTGCGTGTGCGGCAGGATTGTTCACTGTGTGTGGGTGTGTGTGAGAATGCGTGTGCGCTAGGTTAGGGTTTGGCGAGTTGGCGTTTCCGTGAACGACCCCGTGCGGCGGGTTTGTCGCGTGAGTCTCGTCCTGGTAGCGCGTGTACATCAAACACCTGTACCAGGCCGGTTTGGAATCCAGCCGGTCCGGTTTGGGGACTCTGCGACAGAAGCAGCCGTGTCTGTAGCCCGTCTCGAGATACCCGGTGATCACCAGACAGGAACTGTAGAAGGACAGCGTGTAAACGTAGCTAATGGTGACAGCCAGGGCGGCGGTTCGGCAGAAGAGACGGACGGCCTCCATGTTGGTGAAAGGCGAGGCGGCGAGGCCGAGTGTCATCAGGTGGAGCATGGTGGAGCCGGAGAAACGCAGCATGACATCCTCGAAGACGCTCGCCACTCGCTCCTTCACGTGCTGGTCCTCCCGGGTCCGCCTCCATGATGACAGCATCTCAAAGGAGCCGAAGAGCCCGTGACCTTATGGGAAACAGAAATGGGAAGGTAAGTTGAATTACATTTAAAGGGAATCCCTTGCTATATCATTGGGATTGTTTTTTTTTTATCCCGGTTAAAGGCTTTATATGTGATTTTTTGATCCAGCAGATGTCGCCCTTGAGCACCAGCATGAAACCAAAACAACTCGCGGTGCATTGTTGTGTTAGCATGCTAATGCTAGCGATCTTTATCATGCTGGTATCTTCACACTGCATGTAAATTTACCTGAAATGAGCGTGATCTAGAAACACAGTTAAGCAGTGAGTACAGTATGTTATTCTTCTTTTCTCTAGTCCCTCAATTAAACAATTTTTATTCGCGAGGGGAGGAGTCAGCCGGCCGTCCCGGCGATGTAAACAAATTGAAGATAGGACTCTGAAAACTCTGAAAACATCACAGACAGTGGGACTCGGGTGTTACACCCATTGTAGACAGTCATGACTCACAGAGTTATTTTCAGAGGATAAACTTGATTTCTACATTTAAGTGTGAAAAATCGCATATAAAGCCTTTTAAATAAGACACAGACGATTTCTTTATGCCTTAATTTAAGTATTTTTGTAAGTTCATCAAAAATGTTAAATTTACCGTATAGCTCACAGACTATGCGAATGTTAACTCTGCTAGTACTGCTAGCTCCCTGTAAAAACTCTGTCTGCTCTTATCTGAGCTGAAATATTGTTTTCCATTGCTGCTGTGTATTACAGAATGATACTCTTTCTAATTAGTTGATAACAAAATCTAGCTTATTTGACTTCATGTAATAGCAAAGTTGTGTTGAACCAGCACAGAATTAGATTCTGCAGTTCTTTGTCACCCAAGTTAGCTGTGAATTTCAGCTCATTGTTTTGGTTCTACAGACAGCAAATTAGAGGTTTTAGTGTTTGTCTTATTCTCCAAACTCACAAATTAACTTAGAAAACAACAGTTTCCTTTTTCACATGATTTTTTTTTTTTTACAATTGTTATTTTTTTTGTTTTTGCCAAAAAAAGCTAGCGAACATTGTGAAAAATGTAGCTGCTAAAGAGGCACTTCTTTATTTCAACAGATGATTGGGAAAAAAACAATTGTACACAACAGCCTTTAACAGCTTGTTATACTTCAGAAAATTTGTAATTATAGATTTTTTAGGGGGTTCATCAAGAGTTCTGCCAAAATACAAACTTTTCCCACAATGGCATGAGATTTCAAGAACTTGTTTCCTTTGCCATAACGTTTCTACCACTCCTTGCTTGGCTTTGACTCATTCATCTTGAAGAATCACAACATTGCAAGATGAAGTGTAATAACTCAGTGTTCCTGATTTTGTCCTCTCTGCGTGATGTCACACCTCAATCCTGTTTGAACTGGAAATGTGTGACATGGCAGATCTAAGACACTGGAAATGCAGATTTATGATGAGTTTAAAAATCCAATTTGAGTAGTTGGAACACTGCAGCACTAAAACGGCAAAATGTAACCTAATAACAGAGTCCAAAACGGAAGACTATACAAAATTGAACACATTCTGAGGATAATTGAACAGATGTGCAACTACATGTTTCCATACTGAACAGATGCAGGGCTTCAAACATCATGTAGATAGACATTTTAAATAAATAGTCGATGCTCTATCTCCTAACATACTTCATTCTCCAGTTGAGGTAAATGCGAGATGCATGTCCAGGTTCATGCGCATGTACATACATGTTTGTATATTTGCAGGAGACGGTATTAAATGGCTTCCTCTACCATGGTAGCCATGGAAACCATGACTCACCAGTGACACAGTCTCACCAGTGACCTCACCATGGCGAAACACTTAACACCTCGGCAGAGGCACAACGTACCGGCACTTCAGGCGTGGGTGCAGCTGAGAAAGTCTGCAGATCTGTGATTTGTGGGTGTGTGTGTGTGTGTGTGTGTGTGTCTGGTGTGTGATTGAGAGAGAGAGGGAATTAGACAGTGAATGACAGGGAAAGAGGTGTGGAGGTTAATGTTGCAGAGAAAGGAGAGCCAGGCTGAGGACAGCACTTGCTCAAGGATTTGGGGATTTTACCAGAACTTGAGACGGGCTAATGTCTGATCGCACACAGACAGACACACATTAAGGCACCAAACAAGGAGAAAATACCCATTAGAAAAGGATATGTCCTTTTGCAATAACCCTTTCTGTCCCTGGCGTGTCATAAATTGGATTTAAGATACTGGAAATCTTCAATTTAAACTGTTGGGGCGAGAGAACATTGGGGTTACATCAGTATTTTCTAAGACCTCACATTGAAGGACATATTTTTAAGAAAAAAAAAACAGCTTCCTCCATGAGAAAAATAAAGAATACAATAATGAACATTTATGTGAGAAAATTCTTTATGCGATTTTGAAATGTCAAAAAATCGTAAGAAATAAATGCTACAATTTGTCAGACCCAGGGAGATGTCATTTTTAAAGACTAAATAGATTGTAATCATTTATCATGAAAATAATCTGAAAGTTAATTGAAAGTAATGGACAGTTGTAGCTCTACAGTGCCTTAAAGGTCAAAGAAAATCAACTTAGATCTCCACGAATATTAACGTTGTGCATATGGACAAAAATATTGGTCAATAAAACATAGATGACTGAGATGTATTAATGTTCAAACCCTTTCCATCTTTAATGTACCCCTCCTTATAAACAAACACTATTTTCTCCATACCGCTCACCATAGTGCTTGCTGGTATAACGTTGTTTTTTTTACCAAACATCAGGTAAAATGGGAATTATATGGTAAAGTATAATTGGAATTAATAATTTCAGTAAAATAGATGCACACATATCAATCAGAGGTAGAAACATTGGTGATTAAATAAAGCCGCCTCTTATTACTGAGCTGAGCCAAACGATCCTGCTCACTAAGAAGAGCCAGAAATCCCATGACTACAACACATCAGTTTGTCCTTCCTGCCAGCTTTGCTAGCTAATAGGCCCCGTGTAACAACATTTCTGTCTTATTATTAAAGAAAAAGATGAAAACAGTCCACACGAATCCACATTTTTCTCCTCTCTCATGCTCTTTCTGTCTCTAATGTGTAATTGCATCCTTTCCTCTCTCCTCACACTTCCTCCCACCTTTTTCTGTCTGCCCACTTGATTCTCAGAAATCCTTCCCTCTAACTTCAGTTTAACTTTGTTTTCTGCAAAGACAATCCTTCTCCCGACCCCACTTTGGAGTGATATTTCATCGAACCCCCCTTTTAGTCTCCATTCCCCTGTTTCCTCTGCTCCGTCTGCAGTTATTTTAAGCCCAACAGCAGCTTTTCCTCCTCCACATTTACAGAGTAATTATGGTATAGACTGCATGAGTGCGTGAGGGTTTAACTCATCACATCCAACTGTCTGCATGCAATCCAGATAAACTGCAAATACGCCTTCACACATATGGCATGCAGAGAGAATTAACCTCTAGTTTGTTAAAATCTTGTTGCAGCTTTTCAGTTTTGTCTGTTTTTTCTGTATCTGCTTTCCTTTTATCAGTACTGCCAAAACAAATCAGATTTCCACCCGAAAGTAGAAACATGTTTATATCGATATATTACATCTATATTGAAGTACATCAAGTCTTGCAGATGAAGTGACACTCCACCGTTAAAGCAACTTATTGTAAGCTAACCCGCTGTCGATAAAAAACGACAACAGTAGGCCTATATCTTTTTTTCAAACCACCATAAATATATTCCAGAACAGAAAGGATAAATATATGACTTGGGTTTATTGCCAATGCAAGAGAACACATTTTTTAGAACCCTGCTGCAGCCTCTGTTAGACTTATGTTCTCAATAAAGAGTTTTATTTCCTCTGATAAACTGGAAACGTCCAACCTATAGATTTGTGGCCCCTTTAGGACTTCGGTCATGAGACATGTGACGTCAAGTCTGCATTGTTTCCAAGAACTATGCTTCCATCAAAGTCTGGTCAAGTCTACATGCCATGAGGAAAAGCAGAACTGACCTTACTGGGGCAATGAAGTGATCAATACACATTAAAATATAGTTCTTTCACTGCTTAATAAAATGTAGGGTTTTCTTTCTGCACTAATTTACACCCATTGAGTCATACTTGACCACTGACTCAGTTTTAGTGCCACAGTTAACCCTGACCTCGGGTTGCCTTCCACAAAGAAAAAATCAATTGAGGTAGCCGAACATTGCCATATTGCGTCACTTTTGGTCTAGGACTTCTCCATTTATTTTTTAATTCAAAGAAGTTTCAGCTAAAGTTGCAAACAGAAATGTATATGGTCACTGCAACCAATCAGAGCAAGGCTAGCTCCAACATTCAGCTCATATGGCTTCTAGTTCAAAAGTGCAAGGCTTTTCAAATGGCACCATTTATTAGCCACGCCCAATGTTTGAACATAACACAGACCACCACCAAATTTGTTTAATACTGAAAGTTGATTCAGAATGGTCTACATCAGCAGCAGCCATGTTGGTTGTTCACAAAAACACTACAGTACAGTATTGGATAAACTGATGTGATTGGACCGACTTTCGTCTGGCTCTCGGGCTGCACTCATAGGTGCACAAAATATTTAAAGAAGAAGGAAATACTTTAAGAAGTTTAGATACACCTGGCCAACCAATGCTAAAAATGGGCGTCAGATTTTTGGTTTCAGAAAGTACTGGATGCAGTTCCTCAATTCTATTGTGAGAAATGTGTTGGCAGACACTCTTGAAAACCCAACAAGCGCCTACTTCAAAGCATACCAACCCGTTTTCTCCACTCCAATTCAAGTAACTCTTTTGGGAACTTTTTTATTTAGTTGCTACCCTCGGTCTAAAAGTGTACTGAAAGTTCCATCATCCTCCCCTCAGAAAGTCAAGTTCACTCTCCACCACCCGTCAGTCATTTTGACGATCCGTCTACTTTGAAATGGCATTCAGCCTGAGGCTGGCATCTGCAACACCCATCACAGGTTCTGAAATAAGCAGACGGTGAACACAGGCAGGCTGTGATGTAAGAGAAAGGGCCATGTTCACCTTGGCTCCCACCTGTACATGCAAGCATTGCTCTTCCTCAGATTTATTTCTGCTTTACAGTTTTTTATGTTGTTTTTGTGCAAAGATTTCCCTTCCATTTGACAACCCTGACTTCCCAAAGGGAGTACATCGAATATGCTGAGCTAAAAGCCCAGTTACAAACACATGGAGAATGAAGACATAGACAGACTCAAGAATAAAAAGTTAGAAGATTGCCAGGAATGCGTCATTGTCATGTTCTCTACTTTTTGATACCAAATTTTTTTAAAGATACAATCTCCATTATTTAAAAAAATGATAGTAAGTGCTATAAAGCTTTAAATAACACAACAACTATTTCACATGACAGGTGCAAAAAAAAGGGCACAAATCCATCACAACATTGCAAGCAAGCTTCTACACACAGTTTCCATTTTAAATATGTACAATTAAGACAGTGTGTATGAGTTTGCTTGCAAATTTTTATAGCTGAAAACAAGAACATTCCCAGTATTGGGGGCCTAGAACTTCAGTTTTTGTTGCCATGATATCAAACCAGATATCGATTTTGTTTAACTTTTATAACTATCATACTGAAGTTTACAATTCTGGTATAATGGCAACTCTAAATGCTATCATGTTAATCATTTTTTGTCATGAATTTGTGCAGAAAATTGTTTGTCCACAGATCATAGGGACTATCCAGTATCGCGCTCAAATTATTATGGACTGATAACCTTCCAAATTGGGGACGCTTTAAACAAGACATTTGTCCAGGATACATGCTGACCTGTGCAACACAAAATGTTGTGTGCCTAACTTTGTTGATAAGTTACAACAACTGCATCCCAATCCCCACACCGACGCGGTAGTTTCATACAAAGGGAGGATAAAGACATGGACTCAGTTATAACGTCTTTAAAGAAAGAATACATTTTTCTATCAAAAGTTATTGTTTGTAACTTACCCAGCATGACGAACGGGATTCCCAGGTATGAAGAGTTGTAGGTTGCCCCGGTCAGGTTGAGAATCCCAGCAGCAGTGAGGCCCGATAGAGTGATTGACAGCAGAGCAAGCAGTCCTAACCAGGGTTTTGACCTCACACAGTCCCTCATAGAGCAACACAGGATTGCGAGAACACCACACGCCCCCAAGCTTGCCAACAGGGGGCGTCGTGCCAGCACAGACGAGAACTGAAAGTCCGTCCTCAGAGAAGAGGAAGTGGAAGGGTATAGTCCCAGTTTCGGGTGCAACACCGCAAACGTCTCTAACTCCGCACAGAAGGCCTTTTCCCATTGGCCAGCAACCCGGTCCATGAGGTCGCCGCGCGCTTGGAGGTAGTAGGTGAGCTGCAGTGCCCTTGCCGATCGTACACCCTCCCCTTTGCTGCCCGTGCCAGGACTACGCACCGCCCCGCTGGGACCCCAACCCTGTACTCCACCCAGTTGGTGGCCGATGTACGCCTGCCTTCCGTCTACCAGCTGTGTGATCGGGTAGCGCAGGATTGGGACAGTTCGGTTGGAGGCGCGAGCTGCCTGGATCTCCTCCATGGCACGTATGATGTCATCAATGATGCAGATGTTCTTTTCATCGGGGAGACAGAGGTAGGAGAAGGAGTAGTTGAAGCTGTTGAGGCCTGTGGCCGGGACTGTCACCTGCATCTGGTAAATCTGCCTGTGGAGCTGTGTGAAGATGAAACGCATACACACAAGCAAGAAAGAAGTTAGCTTCCCCGTTGTTTAATACACTGCGAAAAGCACAAAAAAAAGAGAGTTCTATCAAAGTTCTTCAGTGTGTAGAACAGTGGAACTCAAAGTGTGTTTGGCTTTACTCTGAGCCTCAACTTTGTTCTTGTGAATAAGAAGGACAGATATGTGGGGGAGTGTGTGTGTGCCTTTAGTTGACAAGAGTAACAATAGTGGTCTCAAAACCTCCTCCGTTTCTATGTCGAGAGGACAACAGTGCCAGCAGCATCCACAGGGCTGGTTACTAAGCAACAGGCCTGATGCCAGTTTCTGCCACAGTGAACATGGGCAGAGCTGTCTCCCAGCTCAGAGTACTGCATTGACTCAGGAGAGTGTGTGTGTGTGTGTGTGTGTGTGTGTGTGTGTGTGTGTGTGTGTGTGTTTGTGTGTGGGAATGTGTCTTTGGAAATTGATTGGTTTTGAATGGTCCTTTCTTGTGCAGTCCTGTTGTGGGATTTACCACGACACAGTTATATTCTGAGCCTGCATTTTATAGCAATAGAATCTACAACACAACACGATACAGGACAGTGTTGTTGCACCTTTTTCACGTGCCATTGTTTAGAAAGGAGACAAACACATTTTGGCTATACTGATAGTCTTTCAAAGATGTTGTCTCTAAATAGACCCTATCAGCTGACAGAACTAATGAGAAACTATCAGTAAATGGGGCTTAAAAATCTCTCAGATTGGTGGTTATAGAACTACAGTCATTTCAAGTTTGTTGAGTGTAATCATTATAATGTTTTGTGTTTTGAGGATGTTAAATTAACCATAGACTTCTTATAGGAAGCGGAAGTATACTCTTGGTTTTCAAAGTGAAGTCTTCATAACCTCCTGCCTCAGTGACTCCTGACTGGGGTAACCAGCAAAGCCCTAGACAGGCTCCAATATGTCCAAAACTGTGCAGCCAAAGTCCTGACCCGCACCAAGCCCTGGCAGCACATCACCCCAACCATTATCCACCTCCTCTGGCTTCCGATCAAATTCTGCATCAAATACAAAATACACCTCCACACTTACAAATCCCTCAACGCCCTTGCCACTAAGTACCTCTCCAACCTCCTTCACCCACAAACCACATCCCAAAAACCTCCTGTCCTCAGAGACTGACCTGCTGTCCATTCGCACCTATGGAGACAGGCCCTTCAGTGTCACACCCTCTGGAACACCCTACACCAAGACATCCGCAATGCCCCATCTTTAGATACATTCAAAAAAACACCATCTGTTCTCCACAGCCTACAAACTCGCATAGCTCTGCCTTCCCATCCTCTCTTACTTGTCTTAATCTTATTTTTTGTTCTTTGTTTGGTCTCTCCACTATGTAAAGGGTCCTTGGGTCCCTTGAAAGGTGCTTTAGTCAATCTATTATTATTAATATTATTATTAACATGCATCTTCTGGGAACCATGAATGTCTGAAATTAAATTTTGCAACTTTACAAAACCTGCTGGATAGTAGCCACTGGATTACCTATGTGTATAGGAGCCATGATCGGGAAATCATAAGGGTGCGCTCAAAAATTAATGACATCGATATTTCATTGTTGAGCTATTTCATTCTGGACTAAAGGAACTGGTCGATTGAATCTGGCTCTTGCATGATTAAAAACGTTTGACATCACGAGTAACCGTATTTCCAGCACAGAGATAATAAATTCAGGTTCATGAAATAATCTCTCTAAGCAAGAGCATCTAAGGTGAAGTTGTGTTCTGACTTCTTAAAAATCAATAAACAAGAGCATGATTTAACTCACAATGCTGCACAGACACTAATTAATCGTGTTAAACATTATTTCTGTCATAGAAGAGAAAAGGTCACACATGTTTTCACTGTCAGGAGATGAAAAAGACTAGAAAAAACAATCCAGTATTTGGGTATGACTCATGATTTGTACTATTTGTTACAAAGTGGATATCCTGTCTAGTATCTGCTATTTCTGCTGACTCTCTTTCACAGAACAAGTTCATTCTCACATCGTTGTTCAGAGGCAGTTTGGGAAAAAAAAAGCAGGCGCTCACAGACTGACGCACAAGTGAACGAGTCAGCCATGGACACAATATTACAACAATATTACAAAGGTGTGAACCTCACAGATGAAGAGAAACAGTCTGTATGTAACAGTGGTTTTATCCTCGATCAGTGTATCTCTCTCTGTAAATGATGCACAGCTCTAAACTCCTCAGTCTCTGTTGCAGTCCTCTGAGGACCAGCACTGTATTCTCGTTGTATTTTAAGTGGGTCACAAAAACTATATTTGATAATCACACATAAAAAATGCATGGACAGGTAGACAAAGCCAAAAAAAAAAAGAAAAGAGCTTGATGCTTCTTAGTCAGCATGCTTGGATTATATCTGTATTACTTTATGAAATCATTTGGCTATAACTGCTTTCAGAGATTTCCAGCTGATACTCATAAATCTGTTTGGGAATTGACCAACTTCCGCTTCGTAATTAAAAAGTTCAGATTCATGACCATCGAGGTTTTGAGGTTATTAGCAGGGGGGCTGTGTTAGTTTATGTAATGACTTATCAATCACTGTGAATTAGGAGGTAGACAGCTGGCATGCATGTTCTGCAGCCAGAAGACGGTGATCTTTACCTATATGAGAGTGTCTGAAAGTGATTAAATTATCCATATTCACATGGTGGCCATTTCCGTAGGACATCACACACCAAAGGCTTAAATCCAATAAGCCTGTAACGTAATTTGGGTGATTGATCTACAACTGGAAGAAAATGGAAAGTGAATTATCTGAAGGGGACATTGTGCTATATTTCAACATTTTTTCATCCCAAATGGATTATGAAATCCTTGTCACAACTGCTAATTTTAGCATTCATCCAATTCCTGGCTAATAATGCTGTTAAACACAATACTCTGAGCTGGTTAACATAGCCTTTAGATAGTTAACATTTCCTTTCGCTTCATACCAGTGCTAACATTTGGGGGTAAACCCATGCTAAGCGTGACCACAGGGCAACATGGCCACCGTGAGACATACTCTCCTATCATGTCTTGATATATTAAACGATGAGGTCTTCCTAATGCTAATGTTAACTTTGTGCAAAGTTAGCTAATGACTTATCGAATATGTTGTTTATTAAACTTGACATTTGTCCTTCTGCATTTGGGTATTGTTTTTGTTCCTGTTGTTTTATCATTTGAGTTACAAATAAACAATGTAGTTTACCTTACATTAGTCTAACTTGCAATGTTGTAGGCGTAGGCGTACATTATGACAGCATTATTCCACCCTGAGAGCGAGCAGGGGGAAATGGTGGCAATATGTATGTAGCTAGGCTAAAATGTTCCAAAAATTACAATAAAAGATGTTAAAAAAAAAACCTGAGGCTTTAGGCTCACTGGACACACTCTTATTGATGTCTAACTCTTTTAAGCCTTAGAAGTTGTTTATTCTATGTTTATCTTTTAGTTGTTATGTTTGTACTGATAGATTTTCCAACTCTGCAATCAAAATCTTTCTTTTATGCTTGACAGAAGGCTATTTTTTCATCCGTCTATTTTTAATGTGTTGCTTATTCTTTGGTTTTATAAACTTTATTCTAAGTGTCTCTCAAAAGCACTTTTCATTTATTCCACTTCATGTAGCCTCTGCATGTTTTGTCAGGGTCATCATGCATTAATGTAACCTACCTCCCCTTTTTTTTTATTTTGACCCTTTAACCACTTGTTTCTTTTTCTTTTCCTGCTCTTACCTTCTTATTGCTGTTTATCTTTTGATTTGCTTTTATCTCTTTTAGTTTCTTACATCTTTTTAAATCTTTGCTCCTCTTGGTCTCAGCTCTTGTTGTTGGGTTCTTGTGTTGCCTGGGTTCTTATGATGGTTCTTCTGATGGTCGGGTTATATATGTCTGTTGGGTATCGTGCACTTTGGGTTCTTTTCTGTTGAATTGTGTTGAATTATTTTGAGTATTTTGCATTTGCTATGTTCTTGCTGTTGTTTATGTTCTTCTGTGTTTGGTTTAGTTTGTTCTTGTTTTTGCTGTTTGTCAAAGCACTTTGTCAACCTGTGTTTTTAAAAGGTTCTATATAGATGAAGTTATTATTATTATTACTGTTCAGAGATGTGAACTGTGCATGTGCATACCTTCAGTATGGTGTCCAGGTGACCCTGGTCCAGCACGCTCCCCTTTCGGGCTGTCACGATGACGCGCCCGTAGCGTCCCGGAGTCTGCAGGTCGGAGTAGAGTGCGTGTTTGGAGCGGTTCACGGGGAACAGGCTGTCCACCAGGTTGCCTTCTATCTTGGCCAGGCTGTGCTTGGGCGCCAGCAGACTCTCCACGTCCTCCTCCACGCGGTACCGGCTGAAGCTGGCCCCCAGCAGGATGGAGAGGAGCACCGGCGTAGAGGCGAAGAAAACCGGGTGGCTCGCCACGAACCGGCCCAGCGCGTGGAAGGAGGTCCGTAGGCCCGCGTGCAACACCTGGCGCAGCATCCTAGCGCGCGGCCGCGGTTCGAGCCTCTCCCACCGACCGGAAAGCCCCGGAGTACTGTCGAGCATCAGGAGCTGCAGGACGCATCGGTGGACTTCTCTGATCTGGGGCTGAAAGAGGAGAGGAGAGACCAGGGTGATGGGAGAGTTTGTTCCCTGGAGCAGGAGGTCACCAGCCGGGGGGAGAGTCCAACCCTCCCCCTGCTTACAGGTGCGCCTCTCCCCTTTGGGATTCTCTCATCCGCTGGAAAAGCGCAAAGGACAAAGCTGCTAAATGCACCAGCATTTCTCTGCTCTGCGGTTAGGGAGCATCCTGATAGCCTACTTTACATTTAATAGCTAAAAACCCTGCTGCGCTGTTGCCTCCTGTAAACTATATGGATCTGTGCGCAACAGGGGAAAATGCAGAACCAATTGGATTATAATTAGACTCCTTACTGAAACTGACTCGTGATTTGAGTCGCTTCTTCTGTTTGCTCACTCGGACAGGTTGCAGAGAAAGTTGCACTGAAGCCAGGCTGTACATACCTAAACATGGGGACCGACGCTCTCATGACAGAAATCTTAAAGATGCAGTCAGACCAAGATCCTTGTCGGCTGCCGGTGTGTTCAGCTCCACCCTTCACATCCCCGACACAACCCGCTGGGTGGTCGAGTCGGGTGGGTCGGTGGGTATAAGTGGAAGTCGCAGGATGCGTGACGTGGAATGTAGTCCTTCGCCCTGGGGATGCCGGTAAGGCTTGTTTTGTCAAATCAGCCTAATCTGGGTTTCCTCTGCGGCAGAAGGCTCTCTGTCGTCCGTCTTCTCCGCTCCTCATCGCCCCGGAGGTTTGACGGAGTCCCCGTTCATCCTCCACCGGGCTGCGCTCTTTCAGCAGCGACTGCTCTTACTCGCAGGAAGGCACGTCACTAATTAACGGCGTTCAAACCGGGGTACAGCCTCCCCTCTCTGTGCCCTTATCTGCCCCGCCTCTCCGTTCCGCGCCGCGCCGCTTCAATGCAGAGAAACAAACACACACCCCGACACACACACACATTTCACGCCAAGTGAGTGACAGCGTGTATGACACAGGAAAAAAAAAAGAGAGCTTTCCAGGAATCCAATATGATGCATAAATAACTGAGGCAATAATTAATATTTGTGCTGCATTATGAGATATCTATGTTAACAACATTTAAAAATGTATTTTAATACAACAGTTAAATGTAAATGTATTATGCAGTAGGCTATAGCCCACCTCTTCAATTATACTGCATGTTCCAATTACACTGTCTTAGGCTTAATGCTGTATTTATAGACACAAGAAGCATCTTTAAGACCGTTAAACACCTGTTGATAGGAGGATGAGGTCACATTTCATTTTGTACATGCTTGATTCTGACGATTCATTTATGTAAAGTAGAAAGTGTTCTTATCCTTATTGTAGATTTTATGAAACATCCCTGTCTTGTGGCCAATTGCTATGGAAACCAGACAAATTACTTTCTTTTTTTTTACAAGGACCGGTTCCCATGGCAACGGTGATGCCACCCATCCCCCCCAAAACACACAACTTGTCCATCCACACACACACACACACACACACACACACACACACACACGCACACACACCTGCTGACTCCCAATCTGCTGATGGTGTGGAGGTGTTTGACATGGTGGCATAAAAGCAGGAAAGGGAGGGAGGGAGGGAGGGAGGAGAGAGGGAAAGATGGAAAGTAAATATGCAGACAGACAGATATCACACTCTCCCCTGCCCTTTCCGTCTGTCTGATCGCCCGTCTGTCTCCCTCTCTCGCTCTCAAACAGCATTTGGTGTGTCTGCATGGGACCAACTAATGCTCCCCACTCACCCAAGATATCAAATCTTAAAGGCTTCTTTTGACATCAACAACAAATGTGGTTACTTTCTCCTCACAGCATGCATGGAATCATGAAAAAGAAAATATCCTTAACTCTAAGCATTTGGTTTTGGCCTACATGGGTCTAATATGATTTAAAAAAAATTGGCTCCTGAACTATTGTTTTCTTTCCGAACTGGTTTTCAGTAATTGCTCATTAAAAAGACATCTCTGCACCATTCTGTTTTCCCTGTATGTCCAACAACCTGTAGTCATTGTCAAATGATGTATGCCTCCTGCAAAGGCAAGCTGTAGTTTTGTGAATCTTTAAGTATAAATAAAAGCATGATAATGATAATGCTCGACATAAAAGTTATTATAGCCATGATGGTACACAGTGTTTCACATATAGTGTGTGGCTGCAAAGAAATGAAGATGCTTCACACCACCGCAGCACTCAAGATCCTTCATTCATTAGTAAGCACAGAATACTCTTCACTTATTCAGGAAAAAAATTAAATGTGAATTATGGCAGCAATCTCCCCACCTTGTGTTATTGTGTGTCACTGTGTACTTGACCTTTTATCGTATAGGTGCAAAAATGTCACCGCTTCATCATTTCATCCAAACTGACGCATTGTATTTATTAGCGTATGAATTCTGTGACATTTTGTTTGCTCACAGTGACCTTTGACCAACAAATTCTCAATCCAAGCAGACATTCATCCTAGAATTTAATCATGGCTTTGAAAGGTCTATCTTAAATACAAAATGTAATGGATGGGGCAGCTGCTGGCACTGAAACAAAATACATTTGTAACCGCTAAAAATGTCCACAAGATAAAGGCATTAGAGAAAATGAATGTGTTGTTTTGCTCTAGTTTCATTACTCTGTGAGAAGCTTAAATGCTCTTTGCTCTGCGGAACAACTTATCGATTAATTGCTGCAGGTCTGACACAAATTCCCCCAAATAAACTAAATATCATAAACGTATTTGAAAGCAGAACACTATCAGTGGTGAGTCTAGAGTCCTTTGGGGCGCTGAGCAAAAACTCACAGAGGACGCCTCCAACCAGTGTCCATTACGTTATAGACAGGGGTGTGTCCAGAGGGGTGGCCAGGGGTGGCATGGGCCCCCATTGGCCACCCAAGGTGCCACCCCAACATCCTTTACAATGATTGGATACTTGCCTTGCAGAGGTGGGACTTATGTTGAAATCCACCATTCAGGCTGTGTTGCAACAGGCAGCTCGTAGTTTTCAGTGTTCAAATGCTTGTTTGCAATTTTTTAAATACTAGCAGTTTTAAGTTTGTTTGTCAGCCCTCGTGGCCCCCCACCCTACTCATAACAAAGAGTAAGGTAGATATACTCTTTTAGTAAAGTGACTTGGGATAACATTTGTTATGAATTGCCGCAATACAAATATGGATTGATTGATTGATTGATTGATTGATTGATTGATTGATTGCCTGTTGACTAGCCGTGTCCCTGAAGAAGGCAAATGAACAAGAAATTGATAAGGTATTTAATTTGCAATTAACCATTAAAATACAATCCAGGAAATACTTCTGAAGGTATGACTGAAAGAACGTAATTCTCGTAACATCCACTGAAGGTAGCCCTCGAGTTTAAGAAACACTCGATCCACATCTGCTTCAACAAAGAGAACATTCAACCCCGCACTTAATTAGAGAAAAACAATGCCCCTATGACAAGCGTTTCCTCCAAAAAAGTCTGATAAAAAAAAAAAAAACATCTGTGCACATTTTTCTATGCATGTCCTAATCCATTATTCAATTAAGCCTCAATTAGCCTTTAATCCCCATTAGTAGTCCAGGGAGAGGCGAGCAGCTAACGAATGAACGAGTGAGTGTGTCCCAGAGGAGGAAGGAAGAGCAGGGGAGAAAATGAAGGGCTTCAGAGATATAGGGGGCTCGGGGCGGTTTCTGATAACAAAAGTACTAATTAGTGTCGCTACAGGATTTATAGGAATCGGAATAGAGAGTGTGTTTTTAAGAGTGTGTATATGGGATGGAAAGAGGAAGTGGCTGAGAATAAATGGAGTCCTCTGAAAGCGTGCTAGGCTATTTTCTGCACCTTCAGAAAGTGGAAGGAGGGCAAATAAGTGGCGGGGGGGGGGGTGGGGGGGTGTACCCTCCAGAGGTTTAAACTGCTGTTAACAAATACACTTATACACTTGAAAACATGCACACACACACAGCCATACACACACACATAGCATGGGCAGCGAAGAGAAAACGACACATCACACGACTTTGGACAGGCTGTCAGTCTGCATGATGCTGTATTTTGGATTCTCTCTCCCGTATGTCCATCTTTCCTCCATAATTTAAGAGAGTTACACGGACACAGAAATTCATGTGTAAGACCCCTCCATACCGGACACTCCTCCTCCCATCCCCCAATCCATCTGTTTTGGTGGAGGTCATCCATTAATAAAGAGTCTGTCCTTTCATTTTCTATTCCCCCTCCTTGTGTATTATTTATTTACCCATATCCACGGTGTTGGCGAGTATATATGGAGGTGGGTTGGGAAGCTGCAGATCCACCGCCTTCTAGGGTGAAAACTTTATAGCAGCAATGGAAACTTGGTTTCTTACTCTGAAAATCCCTCTCCAGAAATCAAAAAAATTGAATCCATTACATTTTCTAATTGAATACGTCGCTTTTACATACATTTAAATAATCAAAGTGCTGCCAACTTTCTGAAAATAACTTTACTGGTCCTTGATTGGCAGCTCTTCAGATTTGAACCAGTGTAGGTGTTAAAGCAGCTGAGTCAGAGAAGCTGTCTGCTGCTGTACACTCCAGCCAGAGGAGTGATAAAGTGATGGCTGATCGGGGTCTAAAAGCCTGTTGAAGTTGTTTTAGAATGCAAATGAATGGCATTCACCAATATTGAACAATTTATACATTAAAAGAGCTCTTTTAGACACCATCTTTTACTCAGTACTGTCCATCAAAACGGCCTGAATATATTTACATCCTACAAGCTTGAAAAAGAAAACTGAAAGTCCACGCAGGACTAGGAAAACCTGATCTGCTAAAAGGTCGGAGTGTGATATCTGAGAGTCTGAGAAGAGCCATTTTCACCTCTCAGAGTCTACAATGTGGCGAGGAGGCATACCTTTCCACTGAGCTTTTTCTACCTTTTGAAAGTTTTGGATTGGATTATCATTAGCATTTTTGGGCGATTATAACCATGGCCGACAGTTGCAAGCACTCTGCAAAGGCGCTAGCTCCAGGCATCAAGCTGCAGCTATGCAAGCTATACAGAACCCCTCACTCGGCTAGCGCTGCCTCAAAATCCAGGCCGGCTACTGCAGCATCTGTTTGTGTGTTTTCAACTTTGTATCTTTTATGTATGTGCAGCACATTTATGTTAATGCAGTTGTTACTTTAGCTTTTTACAGAATGTTTGTTTCATTTGCAACGTGTTTCAGTTTTTGCATTTGCTTTTGAATTTGCTGCGCATTTTTCTTATTGTAAATCTTTTCATCCTTTGCCAAACCCTTGCACCAGTTGGCCACCCTCGATTAGAGAACAAACACACACTAGCTATGTTCACATGGATCCAAATATTCCTGTTACTATGAGTTTTAAAGCTATAACAGAAAACAATGGTGACACTTTAAATGAAGGTCGCAATAACCACCATTATCTAGTTGCTTATTAGCATGCTAATTAGTAGCATACTGGCTGCTTAATAGTCATTAATAGTCATCCTAGTATACTATATTCTTATAATATAGCTACTGTAAGCTGTATCTAGGGCACACATACTAATAGAAGGGTTTTCTTTGTTTGTACTATTTTCTACATTTAAGAATAATAGTAGATATTTATAAAATAAAAGTAAAACATTTCATTTCATTATTGTACGTACACATCAACTTCACTATTTCTATTTCTATAAGAAACACATGTCAAACATTTAAGCATAAGCCTTTAGATCAAAGTGTATTTGAGATATTAACATGCATTTAAATCAGGTGTGTTCAACATTTGACTGGTACTGTGTGTAGATATATGTATATATCATGAAAGTGCTGATGCAGTCCAGAAAACTGAATTAATTTATCAACATCGCCTGATTTTCATACACCATACATCTTCTGTGTCTGCACAATTTTTGCATGTTACTTTCCAGTTTCCGGATATTATCATTACAAGTCTATCTATAGAAGCAGTCTCGTCTGTTCAGAAAATTCATAATTCATATAATTGAGTCTGTTCAGTGTCACACTTTCTAATCTCGGCATGTCCTTCTTCACCTATCCTTCCATGAATCCATCTCTATTTCCCTGCTATTTCTTCATGTGTATAACTGCATCCTCCTGGTCGCCGGCCGCATTCATAATTTTCTAAATGTCATTTGGACATTAGCTCAGAAGGCAAGGAAGGATGCTAAAAGAGGGAGGTCACAGGGAGGGGCACGAGATGAGAAATACAGTGAAGTCAGCGTCATGGCCTCTTAGCGACCCGCAGATTGGATTACAGTTACAGGCCAGATACGGAGAAGATGGATGCAGACGGATGCAGATAAAAAAGAAACGTATCACATGCCCACTCTGATTCTCTTTCATGCACACAACTGCAGAAATAGATAAAGAGTGAGGCGGCTGAGTGGCACAAGATTCATAAAGAAAACTGGGAGTGTCGGGCAGGACCAGGAAAACCTGATTTGCTAACAGGTCAGAGTGTGATATCTGAGAGTCTGAGAAGAGCCATTTGCACCTCTCCAAAAGCTTAATTTAATCTGTGTGATAACCCGGGGCCCGTCTTTAATCTGCACACCACCTGAAAAAAGCCTTGCATGTGTGTTTTAGCTCCCTCTAATGGAGAGAAGCAGAACTGTAGGACTGGAAAGCAGAGCATGTTTGGAGTTGATTTTCCACAGAAAGTCTTACAGATACACGGTTTAATGTGTTTTTTTTCACTTGCAGCTTGATTTGACAGACCTGCTGGGTTTTAAGCAAAGGGAATACGCCTTGGTATTATTAATTAAAGGTGACATATCATCCTCCTTTTCAACCAGTTTAAATAAGACTCAGAGTTCCCTTAAACATATCTTGGAAGTTTCTTGCCAGAAATCCACTCTGATCCTGTATTTGATCATGCCTATAAACCCCTCTATTTCAGCCCTGCTCAGAACAGGCTGTTTCTGTGTCTGTACCTTTAAATATGTAAATGAGCTGTGCTCAACCACACCCCTCTCTGAAAGGGGATGTGGTTAGGCTTACTTACACCATGCCATATTGTTTAGTGAGAAGGCAGACTCAGAGGGGAAAACAAACACCTAGCCGTGGGAGTGTCACCCACCTGGGGGAGGGGCTACTGCCCTTTGTGACATCATAAAGGGAAAATCTCCAAACTTCCCGTTTGAGCACACATTTTCTGAAAAGTGGAGCAGGCAAGAGAGGGAGAGGATGGACTTTAGACAAATGTTTTTTCTGACATATCCGCCGCCAGTTGGGGGTTTTGTAGACAGACTAGAGACACATATTAGTGTTCGAAAACATGGATGATGTGTATTTTTCATAATATGTGACCGTTAAAAGCGTTTTCCATATTTAAACAGAATCTTGTATATAGTGTTGGTGATGATGTTAATTACGAGTTGAATTCTGTTTAAAAAAACACAACAAGATTTGAAAGTGTTTTCTGAATAATCCAATGAAATAACACGAATAATTCAAGTAGCTTTACCACCGCCAACACTGAAATACGATATTACTAGTTCTGCCCACGGTTTCAAAAAGACAATACAAACACACCATTAAAAAAAAGAAGATGTAGAGAAATCGTATGAACCTTCGAGCCTCTAATGCCGTGCAGTACATCATCCTAATTGCTAACCGTGGGCTGAAGGATTGGCTCCCATTGTGTTCGACTGACTGTGATAGATGTTTAGTCTTGGTAGCGAGATGAATATGAAAAATATATATTTTGGACAGTGTTGACAAGAAGTTAGGGGATGAAGCCATTGTCTTTCAGAATATCAAATATTGGGGAATTACCTGCATTAATGTAAACTTGAGTTTTATGTTTTTATTTATTTACTTTTTTTTCTGCCCCCCCTTTTTTTTCTTTGCTTGTTTGTTTTTCCCCCCTTTTTTTTCTTTTTTTTTCTCTGTGTGCCTGTAAAATTGTCTTCCTCGTTTTGTCATTTGTGTCACTATTTGTTTTGTTATTTCACGAATAAAAGGAAAAAAAATCAAATATTGGGGAATCTCTGCATCGTGTTATGATTGTTGTCCAGTGTACTGTGTATCGTTTCGTATTGTATCCTGTGTTTAGTACAACAAGAGTGAACATGAATAAAACTGTATTACATCACAGCATCTTTTAAATTGATTTCTATCTGGATCTCATAAGAAAAAAGCCCACTTCATGACATCATACACTTTTTTTTTTACTATTTTAGATTATGCTTGAAGGCATTTAGCTGTGGCAATTACATAATGTGTGTTTACAAACATCTGATCTACTAAAATAAGGCATTACCTGGAGACCTGGAGCGAGCAAACAAGTGAAAGAAAGTGTGCAACAGTTGTTTCGTCTATTGAATGTGTGCAGCAGCAGCGATCAAATCTGTTGCCATTATAACGAACATCTGAGTGTAAGAACGGCTGCCAGGAGCCTGATGCATAATGATGCTTACACATCCAGTAAAAGAAGAATCCAAGGTCATTATCATCCATCTCAGTCCCTCTCTTTGTCTCTTAATCCGCCCAAACACACACACACACACAAAGGGTACACACAATACTATTATAGACTGTGGCACTGGCTTGTAATTGGTGCGTATTGATGAGACTCCTGCTGGTGTTTCCACAGATACAAGTCATTAATGTTACCCCCTGCCTGGCTGTGTAAGAGACACACACACACACACACACACACACGCACACGCACGCACACACACACACTCAGTGATAGGTTCAAGAGCCTCCTGTAAGAACACAAGAGAAGTTGCCATGGGAACTGCTGACAGAAATGAATGAGATATGATGCGTGTAACAGCAGGCTGGGAGTGAAATCGATAATCAGACATGCTTTCAGGTGCCCTCCCCGATCTCTTTAGGTGTTTTTGTGGTCCATCCATCAGCGCCCTCCTCTCTCTATCTGACACCTCGCTCCGCTTCGCTCCCACAGACTCATTTTATCAATCACCCAAAAGTTAAAAGGCAAAGTAAAAAGCTTGTCTCACAGCTCTGTAGGAACCCAGAGACAGACGCACAACCAGAAAAACAGCAACATAGTGAGACACAATCACATTATACACATCATACATTATAGTCCTTATTTGTTTAAACATCTCATTGTTCCCCTTTTTTTTTTTTTTTTTTTATATTTCGGCCTTCTTGGGTTTCCTCCAAGAAGACCATTTAATTTAATTTGCTTTTACCCTTTTTACTCTGTTTCCCCTGCTCTGCCTCTTGGTTCAAACCAACAATATGTATATTTTCCTTGAAGTAGTAGTTTGATCTAATAGTACAACAACCTTCAACAGGGAGAGAAGCATCTATTCCATGTCCACTGATCGCTCCAGTTGTCTGTTTATAGCACTATGTAACTTCGACAGTGGGCTGCGGTTGTGAATTCATGAATGAATCCATCGTACACCAAAAAGTTGTCCTCACAACGAGGTGTAGACGCTCTTTGTGCAAATTCCGGTAAGATTACTGAACCTCAGGGCCGGCAAGGGCAGGATGGAGCAACGCAAACATCAGGACAGCAGAGGCAGGCTCCACGGTGTCGTTTGTAGCTTTCCATTTAAATAGATTCATATTTATAATTTCAAAAGTTTCGATCTCACAGATCTTCACAATTCCTAAAAAAAGATCAGAGGGATCGAAACGTTACTTTGGCAATCCAAGTCGCTCGAAGCTCTTAATACTTTTTTTGATTCTTGCATTGATTTTTTGATGCAGCGCCTTTGAAACTTTTTCTTAGGATGTGCGTATCTACTCCTTGTTTTGACCTTCTTTCACTTACTCATGAAATCTGCAGTGTAAAAAAATAAATAAATAAAAATAACTGCCTTCACTCCAGAGCAACATCAAAGACTCCAAACACGCTGACGTGAGCGTTCACCTCAACAGAGCAGCTCAGTGAAGGAGACAGGAAGACAAATGGAGAGAGTGCCTCTTGTACTGTACTTTTTGAGTGCTTGTAATTCAGCGAGTACATTTGCCTCTGGCTGACCTGCAGCTCGATAAATATGAATGTCTAACCCAAGATCAAAACTGACACATAGTGGGACAAACACATCTTACATAAGTAAACCTCATCCATGTATGCAAGCATTTCAAGGTTATTGTACAAAATTACAAAATGCGAGATTAAAAACGTTTTTTCTTACATTTTTGCATTTTTTTTTTATATTAAAATTGTGCAGAAACAATTTAGTTTTTGGTTTCGAGTATTTTTCAAAAGATGAGATATTTCTCCTTTCAACAGTTACCCTCACATTGGTAGCGTTGTAGAACTCAAACAATCGGTGTTGGTCTCGAGACCACTTTTTGAAGGTCTCGTCTCAGAATCTAAATACTTTTTACCCGGTCTTGTCTCAGTCTGAGACTGGGCGCACTTTTTTTCTCCATGTCATCCCTGTGATACCTTCTTTGTAAACAACAAATAACTTGAATTCAGTTGTAGTTGATTTTTTTTTCCCCCGGTTACCGCTGCAACCTTCCCGCTGTTACAGTCTAAATGAGTGACACGCCCCCTACAGACAAGATGATGACTTCACAGTGATATTTATGGACTTGGTCTCGGTCTTGCACTGCCTTGGTCTTGGTCTCGGTGTTGTCTTGACTACAACACTACACGTTTGTATCCTAGGCTCCAATAACAAGAAAAAATCTGGTGATTGCATTTTTAGTTTAATATTTACATTTTTTTTATTTCCTAAGAAAGTTGTAGCTTTATAAACTCACACTTACAGTAGATTTTTTTTTTACAACACTCTTATAATCCATAAATTATGGTCCTCAACAATTGGCTTCAGTCATAATTTATGCAGTAGCTGAAACATGTGCAGTGGAAAAAGTTACAGATTTGTTGCAGTAAAAGTAAACAACATCTTGCCATCTTTAAAAGTTCCCACCTGTATACGATCACCTTTATAGATTGGGGTGTATTTTTTTTCTTGAGAACATCTCGGCGTCATTGTTCTCACATCATGTAAACTATGTCGGCCGACTCCAGCATCACTATCAGCCCTTTAACGAGCGTCCTGCTGAGGACGACTCAGGCCTGGGTTCAGGGTCAAGCTGAGGTCACCACACCCGGCAGGACTGCGCGCCACGGTTCATCGTCGACGACTCCGGACAGCTGAACGTTTTCCGAAACTCTTCATAGTTACTCATCGCTCCGATGACTCTGCCGGGCAACAGGGATGGTAAAGGTCAGGCTGTGGGGAGTGTGTGTGTTTGTTCATCACAGTGTGTGTGTGTGTGTGTGTGTGCTCACCTGTACTTTGGAGGACTGTGTGCTCCACTCTGGATCTGATCCCTGGCTGCTTCTGGTCGGTATGAGTTACATCTCACCTGCAGAGCACACAGTACATTAGAGGGATGGTTCAACCCGTTTTCCTGCTTTATCACCAAAATATTACAATGTTCAACGGACTACAAGTTGTTTAGTGTGTTTCAAATAAAGCCATTTTTTTCCCACTCTTTCTTGCAATAATATGAAAGCTTGCACATTATGTATAATTCAGTAAATATAGTCTACAAGGTCTAACCTAACTTTTATTCTTATTTTATTATTTATTTGTACATTTACTTCATTCAAACCCAAAATTAAATAAAAAACAAACACAAAATCTCAGATTTGAATGAAAAGGAGCCAAAAGAAGACTAATCTTATATAATCTGCCCCTCCTTCACAAGACATGAATAAACAAAACACTTAAAGGCTTTATATGCAATTTTTTGATCCAGCAGATGTCGCCCTTGAGCACCAGAATGAAACCAAAACAACTCGCGCTGCATTGTTGTGTTAGCATGCTAATGCTAGCGATCTTTATTATGCTGGTATCTTTACCTGAAATGAGCGTGATCTAGAAACACAGTTAAGCAGTGAGTACAGTATGTTATTCTTCTTTTCTCTAGTCCCTCAATTAAACAACTTTTATACACGAGGGGAGGAGTCAGCCGCTGTCCCGACGATGTAAACAAACTGAAGATAGGACTCTGAAAACATCACAGAGAGTGGACTCGGGTGTTACACTCATTGTAGACAGTCATGACTCACAGAGTTATTTTCAGAGGAGATACTTGATTTCTATTATATTTAAGTGTGAAAAATCACAGATAAAGCCTTTAATAATGTTCAATAAATTGGCTCCAGGCAAACACAGCCACTGTCAGCCTCATCGTAGGTCCTCTGTAACAATTCTTTTTTTTCCTTTAAACAATTTCCAAACCTCCATCCTTCACCTAAACTTCACCTTTGACCTGTTTAAAACCTTAAACTGAAAAGTAATCCATGTTGACAAAGTATCCAGTATACACACATGTGAAAGAAATGCTCTTACTGGTTCTAACACTGATAGAGCAGCAGAAATAGTTTGTCTGTGTGTTAATGTGTGTGTATCTGTGTGTGTATTTTTACATGTGCGTAGCTCAGGAAGAACAGTTGGTTGTTGTTCAGTCCGACTCCTGGTAGCTGAGGCTCCTCCACACCACCTCTGCTCTCATCCACCCACCGCCTGTACGCCTGCACACGAAGATGAAGACAAGTTGTTGTTTTTTTCCACCCGGACTTCTGAACATAACATCTTGAAAAAGAGTCCGTTCACACACGAGGACATTTTGAGAAGCTGAATACAGGTTGGTGAGAAACTGTACAGGTGCAGTAAAGTGCAGCTATTACAAACACAGACAGTACCAGAGATTTAGTAATCATGCTGCCTTTACTGGCATGACTTACTGGAACACATAAAAACATCAAATCAAAATGATTTATTGTGAGTTACACCCATAATTATGCAAATACCTGGTAATATTAAAAAGCTTTTACTTCCTCCAGTTTGCAGAGACAAAGAGAAACTATTGTTTGGTGGGGGTAATGTTGAGGAGGAGACAGATAATTGAAGAGAAAACAGATCATACCCTAAAAGCCTCTCGTATTCCTCCATTATCTGCTATGTTTTCTGCCAGAGTCCTCTTTCCCCGCACCTGCAGAACAAAACATCCACAATGTTCCTTCACAGAATTTAACAAAGTTACGTTTTAAAGTGAGTTAGTCTGGGATCAAAGCATCTTTGCTCTTCGTCCTTTATTATCGAATAAAATTCAAAAATCCTGTAATGTTCCAAACTGGTGTTGTCAAAGAACACTTTTTTCTTTTTCTCAGTGTTTTGCATGTCTCAGGAGACTTTTCTGATCTCATTTCGCACATCTAAAAACACTCTTACATTAAGGCCTGCCTCCTCCCAGTGGTAGCTGTTATACTGGTCGATCATGCACTGGCTCTTCTCATTGAAGGCTGTGACGGAGGAGTTGCTCCACCACTGATCAAGGTTACCGTTTTTATCGTACTTTCGACCTTGTTCACAGAAAAAAAAAAAAAATCCCATTATACTCTGAGTTAGAAATCTATGATGTTATTTTGGATGTTTTTAAATGTGGCGTGTTTACCGTTATTGTCAAAGCCGTGTGTTAGCTCGTGTCCAACAATCACACCGATGGCTCCATAACTTAGAGATCTGCAAACAGACAACAAGGGGATAAAGATAACGAGACGATATGATACCTTACAATGCGATACAAAACGATATGCTACGATATATGGAGTTAGAGCAGTCTCAATATTCACAAATGCACAAAGAAGGATTCACAAATGTATTTCAATGCACAGAGAAATATATTTCATTCTATATAAATGTAAAACAAATCCACAAATAATAAAATAAGATTCACAAATGTATTTCTGATTCACACACAAATATTTATAGTTTTGTGTATATGTAATAGAATTCCACAAATATAGAAACTATTCAGTCTGCATTTACAAACTGTTTGTCATTTGTGAACCTCACTGTGTTTGTGTGTGGGATTTTTGAGACTCCCCTGCTGTGGTTAGATTCACAAATGCATTTTTTTCAGCAGGGCAATGTCTGTAGCCAATCAGATGTCAACTTCCTATTCAGCCAATCACAGTAGCGTAGATTCAAGGGTATGACTTAATATGATCACTTCAGCGTTGCATCTGCGCAATTAGCCTAGCTATCAGACAATCTGATTAAGCCATCTTTAATCTGACTCTGTCTCTGTGATTGTCGTACTATAGATGGAAAAACTGATCTAACTCCATATAATTGGGGGCTAATTTAATTTGATATTAATTGGGGCTATATGATTAAGATTGATAGATTGAGATTGATACAATACAATGCTATACCATACCATGCGATACGATACGGTGGCCATTGTACAGTCTAGATCTCCAGTTTTTGTAAAGTGATAACATTTGCTAAGAACTGGGGCTACACTTCATAGAAAGATTAATCGAGATTGATAAGATATGCTACCGTGTAATACCATACTATAGGAAACACCGTTTTCCCCTCCCTGAGAAACCATTATCAAATCAAGCTCCATTTATATACAGTATATAAATATAATATAATATGAATGTCCCTTTAATTGTTTTAGTAAACGTACAGTATGGTGACATCAAGAGATGAGTCTGACCCTTCACTTCAAAAACTTCTGCTTTAAAATAACTTGGATGTATTTTGATGACACAATAAGTCATATTTTCACAATCTGTTATGTGTTCTCCAACTCTCAAGCATCACTACTCTAAAGAGTTGAATATGAATTTATAAAAAAACATGCTTCATACAGCAGGACTATGTGTACTATACTTAAACTTGATGTACTGTGGATTGTAAGGTAGCTTATTAAATTACAGTGTTTATCCACTGACCTTACCCTTACTTTTCTTCTTCTCTGTGGTTTTCTTTCAGGAGGTTTATGTCAGAATAATAATTTCAGAGCTTCACCTTGCTCCCGGGTATAAGCATGAGGTGGCATTTCTTTGGTCTGTTAGCAGAGCGTGTCACATTTCTTTAATCTCACCTTGGATACTCTCCTCCCCAAAAGAAAGGTTTTTGAAGCTCTCCAGCTGGGAATCCTTAAAGAGAAAATCAAAATAGGTTTTTCTTGGTGTGTCTTCAGCCGTGTCCGAGCAGAAATTATTTACTGCTGAAGGTCAGGTAAGTTTTTCAAAGGCTTTAGTTTGTATTTCAGGCTGAGTCATTTTCTGCTCTCCCTTTAGGGGAAACTATTAAAAGCCTGATCACATATCCACAGTTCTAGAGAGCACTCTTCTCGTCAGTGTTAGTTATTTTTTTATGCAAATTCTTAATCATTTCTGACACTGAACTGTCAACTCAGCCTTCTTAGGGGAAGAATAAACCCCTGAAAATGTATCATAGGCGGATACTTAATTGAAATCACTGAGGTGCAGTGTAGCGTCATCCTGTCTGAATACTTCAGAAATCAAAATAACGTCTGAATGATTAAATGAAAAACTTGAGTCTCAGTAATCTCTCCGACTTTGTGTCTTACTGATTTGGTTGGTGGAGGAGCTGTAGAAGGCGTTCACAGTTGTCGGGTTAGTAAACCACCTGCAGCAAACACAAAAACACACGTTATGTCAAAAGTGAAACAGAGAAAGTTGCTCGGCATGTCGGGCGAGATAGCACGTTCTACTCACTCTGTTCGTGGGACACTTTTTCTGAGCCAGGCGAGATCCGACTGGGCGATGAACTTCAACGTCTGAATCACATTCCCGTAGTAGTCCTTCTCATTGAACTCTAGCTGGAACATACACAAACGCAAACACATTGTGTTATTTACAGAACTGTTTAAAACATTTTTTTTTTTTTTGAAAAATATAACAAAAAAACACGCAACCCACATAAAAAAATAAAACCCATACACACAAACCCAAAACAAAACAGTGTCACACACATCACCAACAACATAACCATGATTTACTTTCAGTTTTTGCAACCAAAATAATGTTTACATACATCCCCTTTTCATTATATATTTTATTAAATTAAGATATCACCACATTTTCCCTTGCCAACCTGTATCTAAACATCCTCCATCACATGTTGCCATGGAAACCATCTGTCAAGGAATTTTTGCATTTTGCCGTCTTATTTTGAAAGTTATCATTTCCATTATGTAAATTCCTTTGACAAGTAATTTCCAAGACTCGTGGGTTAAAAACAGCCCCCGCACTCTCTCGCTGGTCTAAAATCAGAATTAATAAAAACCTTCAAAACAAAATGAAGTAAATAAAACCTGATTGATTGAAAAAATACATTTGGGTCTTAATATTTCATGGAGGAGTTGGTCGTGGGTCCTGAGGCTCGACCAGTTGATGACCACTGTTGTAAAGCAGCGCTATACAAACCTGCTTTAAGTCTTCATTGAGGTAGGTGTCGTTCAGTATGAACTCAGGATAGCCAACTTTAGCAAGAACCGCATGAGCCTTGAAAGAAGCAGACGGCAGATTGAGATTAAGTGAAAACAATAAATGATAAAAAAAAAAAAAAAAAAAAAAAATTGAGAAGGCATTGAAGAGTGTGAGTTGGTGTTTTTTATGACATGAGAATTTAAGAACCAGGAAGAATATTTAAGAGACTAAATTCATCGACTTTTTAACTGTGCATGTCTAACATGGTTGTGGTAGTTGTAATGGAAAAATTCTGTTTACTGTCGAGGACACATTTTACTTACAGCCCGCTTGAGAAATGCTACAATAAGTTAAGACATAATATTCTTGTTTTGTCTTTACCCAAGGATGAAGGTTTCTCACAAATAGCTAAATATCAAAGATACTCAGACTTGAAGTTTCCTTGACATTACTGTTGTGCGATGTGTTGAAATGTATGACAAAATGTATTTGATATTTGACTGCGTCTGTATCAGCAACCCTTATATAGGCATGAAGGTTTTTCTGTGTATATAAACCCGAGCATATTGTGATTACTTGGAGCTTTTCCTTCAGACTGTATTGACACTCTGAAACTTTGTTCCTTCTACTTGCAAGAAGAATTAAACTAAACAAAGACACTGATTGACTCATGATCCTTTCTTTTGCATTGTTAACAGAAATTTCCAGCACATAGTAGCAAAACCCTAGAGGGATTATCTTTTTAAATGTTTTCAGTAGTGACATTGTGAATAAGTTGTTGAAAGAGTGGCGGTTTGGTTCAAGGACAAAATCACTCCATCGAGAGAAAAGAGTCTCACAACACAGACAGCAGAACGAAAGACAGCCGAGCACTTATGTGTTAAACCAAGGTCTTTAATCATGGAATGTGTAATGACTTATGATGAAGCAGAAAACCACAGAAAGTTAAACGATTATTACGAGTTGATCAAGAGTATGGAATCAAATAAGTCATTGTTTGGGCCGTACGTTATAGGAGTGCAAGAAATTCTTATCATTGTGTAAGGATGTGGGGTAGTGCATATCTTCAAGTTATCCCCAGAGGGATAACCACAAACATCTCAAGCAATTGAATTGGAAGGAAATAATTTACCAAAATAGTTACCAGCCAAACAAATAGGCTCGCTTTTCTGAATAGCCTTGAGATAAGGAGCACCAATAAACTATTCTTGTAGAGCCTCTGAAAATAGTAAACAAGTCAAGAGGTGCTTATGAAGAATCACACACTTCTCACATGACACACAAACAACAGCTCACTATCACTGATGATGAGATAATGAGTCAGTGCAGAGTGATGCCACTCGAGGGACTATAAACTTAACACACCTGAGCCAAATCAGGGCCAATCAGTTACACACACACACCTGACACTGCACTGAGATGATTACCTCCCCACACTCAGTGGGTGACCAGTGTGATCTCCCTCACACATTGTGAAAGGCGCTTTAATAGAACTGCCCCCAAGGCCCAATTAAAAGCATTTGGACCTGACAATACAATCTTAAGTTGACAGGAAATAAGACATAAAGGGGAGCACTAAAACGTAAACATTGGGTTAAAAACAAACCAGTCATTTACCGTATTTTCCACACTATAAGGTGCACCGGATTATAAGGCGCACCTTCAATGAATGGCCTATTTTAGAACTGTTTTCATATATAGGGCGCACCGGATTATAAGGTGCATAGAATAGAACGTGTTTACAACTGAACAAGGCTGGGAGATATTGTGAATATATAAATATAAATACGTATAAAACTATGTTTTGTACATAGTGCATTCACAATAACTCAACGTTGTTCAAACGTTAATGTGCATATTCACAATATCTCCCAGCCTAGTTCAGTTGTAAACACGTAAAAGAAACACAGTCTGATACCACTAATTCAAACGTTAGTGCATAACTCAACATTGTTCAGTTACGTATAACACGTAAAGCTCACTTTTTCAGTTCATTCCCCGTCCACGAATACCTCGAATTCTTCTTCTTCAGTGTCCGAATTGAACAGTTGGGCGAGTACGGCATCCAACATGCCCGGCTCCCTCTCGTCATTATCCGAGTCAGTGTCGCTGAGCGCCGTGTACAACCAGTATGGATCGACCAATTAACCAATTGATCCATATATAAGGAGCTCCGGATTATAAGGCGCACTGTCGTTTTTTGAGAAAATTAAAGGCTTTTAAGTGCGCCTTATAGTGCGGAAAATACGGTACTCGTACATTTTGGATAACTTCATTTCAAAACTCAATAATTTTGTTTTATACATTTCAGCTGCTTTTAGATATTCAATGCTAAACTTTTTACAGAGTATAACATTTCACACAAAATAAGTTGAAAATTATTATTTTTTTTAAATGTATTTCAAAAATGAGTGAGAGATGGAAAAATAATGAGGTAGTTTTTTAAATGTTCTCGTCTAATTCACTGTTCAGAGTGATGCGGTGCTTCCAGCTGTTCTTACCTTGTCTATGGCTCTCTCCTTTGTTGGTGAATCCATCCAGGTGTTCTCCTTCTTCAGTATGTCAATGAACGCCCAACGAACGCCCCCAATCAACTCCTCCATCTGAAAAACACACACACACACACACACACACACACACAAACACACACACACACAAATACACGTTAATTAATTAGAAGCTGACGGAGGATTAAATGTGATGTAAATTCCAGACGACATACATATAAATCATCGAGAAAAATTGCATTCTGTCAATGCCACATAAACAAACCACCTGACGCATAAGAAACAACATTACATGTCTGACATCTCTGTGACTCAGAGGCAAAATATAATCAACACACATCTGTTACACACTTAAACATATACAAATGAAACATGTTAACCCCTTAATCCCCCACTTTGGGACACTATATAATGTGTCTCACAAACTCACCATGTGCTTCTTGTCCTCCTGGAAGTGTGTGTCGACAAAAAGGCGCCCGGTGGCATAAACAAGTGAGTTCTCAACGTAGTTAACACATTTATCCCAGCGCGGGGTGAGAGAAGTGGTGCCTGTGGTTACCTGGTGGAGGTGGTCGGAGGGGGGGGACAAAGATGCAAGATGACAGTGTTACTCCCTTCATAACACGATGACTTTCATTGTTTTATTTAACATCCGAATCATCACTTAGATGTGAGTCGCAAATGGCGTCACAAAGTCTGGGAAGCGTTTCTTAATTATGTGAATCATTTCTGTTTCATTATTCTATCACATGTTTTGTACCGCTTTCTGTATACAGTTGAATTTCACATCATAACTCAAACCAAATTCAAAACTTTGCAAACATATGTAAACCATGTTTCTGCAAAGTGTCAAATACTAACGGAGCAGCTCTAGTCTAAGCCTTTTAATACTGCATATTATACCTGATTTAAGGCTTTTAAGGAGCCTTGTTTGTCTTTGACCCATTAAAGAGCATCACATTCTTCAGTTTATCTAAACACTTAAGAATCGCCGAATATGGACATAGATGTTTGGAACATTCTTCATGTACCAACCCGAGCATAGTCCAGGTATCTGTAAAGGAAACGTCGGCTCAGAGTGGTGATCCTGGAAAATGCTGTCCTCCACTGCACATAGTTAGCTACAGTCCTGGAGAGAGGCAGAGAGAGAGAGAGAGAGAGAGAGAGAGAGAGAGAGAGAGAGAGAGAGAGAGAGAGAGAGGAGGGCCATTAATTAAATGCCTACATGTAATCTCATTATACACTATAATATACTGATAATGAGAAACAGGAGCCCTCAGGCCCCAGTGTGTGTGCTCATCAGTCTGCGTGTGTTCTCTATCTAGCTGTTTGTGCATGAGTGTGTCTGTGTGAGTGCATACCTGGGATCTGTGGAGTTTAAGAGCTTGACGAGTTCCTTAAAGTACTGTGGAGCCCGGACGATGACAGGCTCAGAGGAGGAGATGGACCGAACCGGTTCGGTTTTAGACTCCACCACAGATTTAACAAAACCCAACCAGTCTAACTATGGAAAGAGGGGACAAGTGTGCATATGTCGAAGAAATCCCTTAATGACAAAGAAGAACACGTTTATTTGAAAAAAATATTTTGCAGATTTATTTTCCTGTTTTTATGCCAAAACTTTCATTGACACAATGTTACAACCATGGCTAAAGTATTTAGTTATTTTAAATCTTTCAGAAGAAAGTTGCAATCTTTGTGCCCCAAAAATGATTTATGTGGATAAAAAAGCTTTAATTAAATCTTTCGCAGTTTAAAGGTCCGAGCATCTTGATATATGATGCACTTTAAATTCTTTACTGTCAGTTTCTTTATAAAAAAGAAAAAGCTAAGTAAAAGTAAAAAAGGCGTGATAGTTTTGATAAACAAAGGGAAATAAAATTAATAGATTATTCTGATTATTTTGTCATTCATTCTGTCTTCCTGTATTATAATACCTGTGGTATGGTTCGCTGCAGGCGAGAGAGTGTGAATTTGTTGTACATGTTCTCACTGGTGCGGTTTTCATAGGGAATCAAGATCTGCAGAAAAAAAAAAGCAATATTACACAGACATAGAGTTAAACATGGATTATTTCCATTTACACTGTTGGTTAAGTTGTTGAATCAATTTCAATGACAGTTAATAATGCTGGGCTCTGATTTAGCTCCATTGAGGCCTATCAAATCAACTCTATACAGATAATGAGATCCTATTTATCAGACATGACGTCTTTACATGAGCCAGTTTTGATTCGAAAGCGAGAGCCTTTTCCATCTGGGTCATTGCTGCTTTCTCCGGAGCGCCCAGCATGACTGCTGTATCTACCATCAAGCTCAGCAGGGCCGCACGATACTGGACAGAGAGAGAGAGAGAGAGAGAGAGAGAGAGAGAGAGAGAGAGAGAGAGAGATTTCCATAATGATTGAAATTACAGAAAAGTTAAAAGCCTAAAACACTGAAATATAAAAATCCTGCTTTTAAAATAATTCATGTCAAATTATAATGGCCATCTTTAACCAAAGTAAGTGCAATCATAATAGTAAAATTGCATCTAAAGCAAAACAGTGACTAGTCTTCCAGTTTAGAAAAACTAATCACTGAACTTTTTAGTCCTGGCCAAATGAAGAAGCTATAAGCACAGAAATCAATAATTAAGCTTCCCTTTCTAATATTGTTTTTCTGAATCAAGACATTATATAATTTATTAAAATGTTGAGTCTGGAAATAAGCTCTTGTTCTGATTAAAACGCGCTGATTATAAAAACCAATATTCACTGCTGATATTTCGAGTGGTTTTGAATTTTATTGCTGTAATTCATCACTCAAGCAGGAAGGAAATAGCTACTGCAGGAAGAGGGGTTTTTTAGATGACAGGTTAAAAAAAAGTTGAAAGATGAAGCAGAACTCACGGCCCGTGCAGAGGAGGAGTTGGTAGTGTAGTCTTCCCTCGAGGGCAGAGACAAGGATGCCTGATCGAGCTACGTCAAGGCACAAAGAAACGGTTAATACTGTATGTTCTGTTTTTTTGGTTCAACATGTAATATTTGCTGCAGCAATGGACTTACAGCCAAGGCTGCAAATCAGCAATTGCCTACATGTCAACATTGGTGCCTTACGTACAAATTGTTAAGACATTATATCATATATGACTTGATTGCCAAACATTCAAAGGTTTATATATTGTGTAATTGGGAATTTAAATCCCAATTTTACGATAATAGAAGGCTCAATGGTGGAGTGTGACAATGCTAATATAAATCAGCCAGTCCCCTAAAACCACGGCCATCTCTGTTGGTTATAGAGAATACATAGGCTACTAACTGTTAGCTGGTGGTAAGTTTAGTTTAAGTTACAGTAAAGACTGGAAGCCTGATACAACATCATTGTTTTTTTGTTTATTACATAAGACACAAATCTAAGTCTAAAACCAAAAAAATTTATTAACTGCTGGTTAAGTTGGACAAAATGCTGATTTTCTGAAATGTCAAACTAAAAATCATGCATGAATAAATCACAGGAAGTGAAGCACTGATGTCAAACCTTGATAATGTAGTGTGAGGAGTTTTTGTCATCAGGGGAGACATAAAGACGAATCAGGACGCTCTTACTGTGCTGATTCCTCATCTCTGCTAGAGTTTTTAGGAGGCTCCACTGCCTCTCCGACCACTGATAATCTCCACCTAGCCCATCCCCCACAACAGGCCATCGAAACTCAGGCTGCTTAAGTGTTTTCAGCATAGGTTTGGAATCCATCTGCTCCAGTATAGCTGTGTTAGAACACACAAAAAAAAGAAGAAATCCAGATTAAGTATATCATTGTGTCTGATTGTTTCTATTATTTCCTTTATTATTATTTTTACCTTTGTCTTAAAATGTTATTTTTCCTTTATCTTTATTTTATGCATGTCCAATAATCTGGACCTGCTAGGTAGGTCTCGGCAAGGTCATCCTATCTTATTCTTGTCATGTCACCCTGTCCTTTAGATACGTTATACGTATCTAAAGGACAGGGTGACATAACAATAGAGTGTTATCGTGTACCTGTTCATAGTCATGGAGAGTGGGGACTTTTTTTTATTTTACCACAGTTGTCCCATGAGCCATTTTGAGTCAAAGGGTTTTTGTTTTTGTATTAAAATTAGATCCAAGTTAAGATGCTGTGATAGTCTGAGTGCTGGGTTTATGCATGTGATTCTGGGTGAGGGGCTTCATAAGGCATTATTCAAACAGTAGTCCCCACAAGAGCTCATAAACATGTATGTGTGTGTGCATTATTAGTTGTTTTAGTCACACTCAGGATGCAATAAATTACAATATATGGACTCAATACCTATTTTGGGAACTCACCTAACATTTACAGGTAGGAGTAGAAGAAGATCAGAGTTCAAATGCTGTGGTTAGCGTAATGGTTAGCCTTAGTCTCCATGTAACAAATATATATATCAATAAAAAATAAAACCCAGTTTGTGTTGTCCGACTCACTTTCATTCATGCAGGAGCGATAGACGATCTTAGCCTTGGTCACCGCCTCCAGTTCATCAGTTTCTGATGGAGCTTCTAATAACTCTAAAAGAAAAAACAATCTTTGTTACGCAAAGATCCAAAAATTAACAAATAATTATACTGCTAAATTACTATGTACAAGTTCAGTCTTGCCTAGTGAACCAGTGATAATATCCTAACATCGTAAGAGTTACTTTAAAGGGCAAGTACAATATTATGAATTAAAGTATTCAGGAGTACTACTGCAATTTATAAGAAATTTGTATGAAGCCCTTTTGTAGCTCACACGGGTAAACATGTTGCTCCTAGCATAACCCAAACAGGTCTCAACAAAAGTGGTTGAGTTGTCATTAATTGTAATCCTACAATGTTAGCCTAAAGTTATAGATGTACTCCTTTGTAAACCAATACATTTCACTTTCTTCTAAAAGAGATAACTCCCACATATTCAGTGTATCAAAATGTCTGTTACAGATAAGCTACTGTCTTCACAATGACTTCTCATTTTCATTTTCATTTATGAAACAGGAAAGATTAAAAGTTACAGTTAAATGGGCCTGATTCAGTTGAAACTGGTTTACAGTAGGTACCTGTTCTGCAGTGCATTAAAAAAAAAACAAAGATCACACAAGACTACAGACACGACCAACAATCAGACTAAACAGCAACACAGACAAATCTGGTGGAGATTTTGTGGACAAACACACCTTTGAGTCGAATGTCCACATGCTGCCGTAGCCAAGGATAGATGCCATACGAGGAGGAATCTTCAGGGATCGGGTTCTCTTTTAACCACCCTCCACAGGAGAAAGAATAAAAGTCCTCACAGGGGTCAACAGACTGATCCATTTTACTCAGAACAGACCCCGCTACAAGGAGAAGGAAAAGGGAGTCACAGGGATCCCAAATTATAACTTTTTAGAATCAGATCACTAAGTAACAACTAAATTCACCACAATGCAAACACAAAATAGTGGACACTTTGAGAAATTGGACATAAATTGTTTTTCAGTATGTCTCACCTGCTTCGATGCATTCTGGGGTCAAACAGAACTCGTGCTGATTTGATTTTTGAGAGACTGAATGAAAAGAAAAAGGGTTAAAAAATAAGGTGAGCTTGTTGTTTTTGAGTGGCCATTGAGCAATGTAGTCATATAATTAGTTTTGAGCAGTCATTAATATTATAAAAAAGGCATTGATAGAGCAGAGACACCAGGGAAACTTGATAAGGAAACGATGGCTAATGGCTAGTAAATGATGGCTAATGTTGTCTTCTTTTTCTGCCATTCTGATCTCTGTGACAAGTTAGCGAACTGTTCAGGTAAAAACTATAAATTACTGGCAAAACTCTGTGAAAATACCAAAACAACGAACCTCATTTTCAAGTACATTTTCTTAATCATTTATTAAAGAACTCCATGCTCCAAAACAATTGAGAAGGTTAACTTGAGAGTGCAATGCTGCTGTTACCAGTGTACTTTTTTTTCAAGCCGTTTAGTAACCAGCAAATTCATGCTTCTAGTAGTGCATTGGTAAAGTATATTTATTGGAAAATAAATATCACTGATGACAACATTAAATGGCAATCATTTGCAAAATAAGAAATGTTGTTTCCATCACTTTCAGCATAGGTAGACCAGAGGACGGAAAGTTTGACTTGACTATATCTCAAAAAGATATGTGTTATCAGGGAGAAGTGGAACATTCCCAAAATTCACTTTTTTATCAAAATGGAACAAATACAGACCAAAGTTCAGTTGATACAGCTGGAGAGCTGTCAGGCAGAGTAAACAGTTAGTGGATTCAGTTTTTAACCTTATGCCTGCCAGCACTATGGAAAAACACTACCTACAACCACCATGCAGCTTTTAGCAGTGTGATTTCACTTTATACCTCCCTATAATATTTATTTATACAGTGCTTCCTAAAATACACATCAGCTTTTAAACTCGACTTCACTGTCAACAGTAATTACTTCACACATGTCTAAAAAAAGGCACTCAGAAAGCCTCAAGAAGACAAAATAGAGCCCCTCATTGTTGATGTTACTCGTAGTGTGACCACAGGTTTACCCATTCACTTCCTTTCCTGAAGGTGAATGAACGACTGCTGCTCAAAAACCTCTTGGCAGTAACCAGGGTTATGTGATGTGGCTCTGAGGGCGAACAGAGCCAGAACAAGCCCATGAAGACGGATTTAGAAACCAAATCCCTATTGTAAACGCATGAGCGGAGCGTTACAGAGCTGCGCCACAATGTCTGACCTCGGAGGTTGACTGGTCATGTTGTCTAGTTAGAGCTCGCTCGTGAGGGCTCCTTGAGTTTGTGTCCACTCTTAGCATGAACGCACACACTCACAACTTCAACCCTGCGTGACCCACTTGGCCTAAAACAACCTCAACAACCCTCCCCGACTGCTCCGTCAGAATCACACACACGGGGGGTTAAACAGATGCACAGATGTCTGAGACTCAAGTGTCACTGCTTACACCGACATCACGTTCATTACTGAGACACAAAACAGGCCAAAGACATGCATGTACAAAAAACACTAAACACTAAAAAAAAAAAAAATAAACACTTGGCATTGCTGAGTCTGGCCGCTCGCATGGCTGGAGACTAGTGGAGGGTTTTTATTAGAGTGGGTGTGTGGTAATGCATACATTGCCACATGACATAATTACACTTCAATGCCACCACAAGAATGTCTGCTCCCCTCAATAACTGCAAAACAATACTTACCCCAACCCCCCCACAACATATGAACCCCTCCCGACTGCAACCATTCTCACAACTACACGCGAGCGAAACTACTGAAACATCTGACAGAAAGGCCGGCCCTTACAGGAATATACCAACATTTACACAGAACGTTTGATGAGAAGATTGCACCACTTTTATGTCTGTTCATTAAAAACAAAGCTAACAGCAGAAGTCAATCAGCATGAGGACTGGAAATAACATGAACACTAAGCTTTTCCACCTAATTAAAAACAAAGGCTCTCTTTGTCTGCATTTTTAAAATTGGTTCATTGTAATTGGACTAAATGGCAGCAGAAACATGCATAAAAGTACTTGCCAACAAGTTCATTGATTTTCAAAATTTAAAGCTGTAGAATCGGCTTCAGCTAATGGACAGCAGCTTCAAGAAATTGAGGGAAAGTTTCCATGAGCTCTGTTTAGATGGTGTAATATGGACAATTCAGTGTTCTCCCTGAAAGTCAGAAACTTAACATTTGGTTTAGGTTTGGTTTGGTTAGATTCTGTAAAAAATAATATATTTTCCATGTTGTTTACGTTTTAAATTGTCTTGTTTCATTCATATCTTGTCTTAAAGCCTCTATTGCTGTCACATGATGTTGATGTAGAACAGTGTCCAACCTTTACAAATTTCAAGTAAAACTATTGTAAAACTTTCATTTCATTTTATTTAACTGAATGTATTTGTGCCTGTTTTGAGCCAAACAATGGATGTTAATTGCAGCTCCATCTAACCATGACACATCCATGTGGGTATTTTAAAATGTCAGTGCTAATTAAGACTCCTATAAATAAAGAAATACACACACAACAACCCATTAGTCCTCTAAACAATTCCTTGCTAATTAATTTCACATTCTGCCGGAAATAATACCCACAAAGTGTCAACATACACATTCTTTCCTCCTTTCCCAGAGTTCAGTTTGACTCCCACAGTGCGTTATGGTGGAGTTTGAGGTTCTGCATGTTCACGTGGGTGTGTTTGAAACCCTATATGAACCAAAAATAGTTTGACACAAGTTACCCACGACCCCTCCACAAAGACCTTTGCTCCCAACAGAGTGCCTCTGTGTGTTATTTACAGTCTGTATGGACTATAATCTGAGTTCAGCATGCATTATGTTCACTGTGATACATTTCCACTGAATTCCTTACAAATTATAATGCAGGTTTAGAAAAACAAAGTGTATGTGTGTGTTTGGTGGTGGACTTACCCAGTATGAGTGCAAGCAGCAGAGCAGCACAGAGACACACACACATGGCCAGTGCTATCCTGTAGAGACGACTGTTGTCCCTCTCGGGTTTAACCCCACCGCCACCTAAACGCTCCAGCTCCATGGTTTACTATATCACACACACATATAAACACACACTCACCCACACGCTCTTACTTTCTGAAGTGGAAGCGCTGAGGAAAACACACCAAAAGCAAATAAAACTGCTTGAAAAATCTGATAAAGAAATTAATGGAGAAATTAAATGAAAAAAATATATAATTATATCTTCAGAAAAAAAAAAAATCTAATCATTCCTTTGCTCTCATTTCTGCTAAGTCTTCATGTGTCTTTTGCACACAAACACACAGACTTTATTCACTTTCCCTGCCTGTCTGTCTCTCTCTGTGCTGCTATCTGTCTAACTGTAGTAACTCTAACTTCACCCTGGCTCTCCTAACTGTTCCTCCTCCTCCTCTACTCCCATCCCTCCCTCCCTCCCTCCCTCCCTCCCTACAGGACAGAAAGGAACAGGCCTCCCTGTGATGAACAGAGCTCAAACTAGAGCCAGAACGTTATCTGTTTGTTTTACTGTGTGACCATTAAAGGCTGCAGACCCCCTTGTTGGTAACATATAAGAGTGTGGGTCTAATGTCCTGTTTAAAACAGCATGGTGTTCTGCTTGAAACATTTATCGGATCAGACAGTCAGTAGACCAGGACAAAGTTACACACGCTGATACACACACACACACACACACACACACACACACACACTGATTACAATTGATTAATCTGGTGATGATAATGACGCCGCAGCCTGTAAAAACACATCAGTGTTTTTGTCAGGATGCATCAATAATTTCTTTGAAGAGACAGAGGTGCTGATGATAATGACACCCCAGCTCCTGATTGGTCCACCTCCCCACCCCCTCCTCCCCCGTCCTCCCCCCTCCCCCATACCGTGGTGAGAACTCTATCTGCACATGCTCATTAGGGTTTGAGGCGTTGGCCACAGATCCCTTATATAGAATTGACTTCCTGCGCTGCTAAAAACACCCATTCATCAAGCAGATGCGCCTACCACACTTCTATTGTTCCCCATTGTGACTCACAATAATTTGTGTCCTGTTTTTATTCTCATTGTTTCACATTTCAAATGTGAGTCTTTGCTCTAGTTTTCATTGTCGCCACTCAGACAGTTGATCTCACCACTTTGCTCCAGACTGAAATATCTAAAAAAAAACATGAGATGGATCTGCAAGTCTCAATAGTTCCATCAGTCACAGCTGTAGTTTGTATTTATCGCTAATTAAGAGAAGGTCCCAGAGTGTGACTGTGGTGTGTTGACGTACTCTGCCCATTAATGTGGAGTCATACACATCGGAAAAAAAATGAATTTCCGAGATGGAAAACGCACATGAACGCCTGCTCAAGTCGGAACAGGTACTCGGAAACCTCAAGAAAGAGTTAGTTGCTTGACTTGCCAACTCGGATGCTGGGACTTTCCGAGGAGCACATGAACGCAGCAGGATTCCAAAAACGGAAACGGGATAGGACCAATCACAAAACAGAAGGTGGGGAATAACGTCAGGATGAATTTGACTGGAGCGTTAGCTTCAACAAAGCTTTTTAGCTGGTCGAAAATGTGTAAACGCCCCTGAGTGCAGGATGAGTCATCAGGCATTTGAAATGTTTTTACAGCAAAAGATAATAGTTATTTTGGTGTGAATTAAATTCTTGCTTAACTGAAACATATTTGGCAGAAAGTGGCAGATAAATGAACATTTAACACAGGAACACTGGTTTCAAACAGGGAAAATGAATTTTCCATTTCATGGGGACTCTAAAGTCTCATCTGTCAATATGAAGCAGACAGTTAAAAACATGCCTCCCTTTTGCCCTCTTCTTCACCCCTCATCATCCTCCCATGTCTGTTTACTCAAACACCCCTTCAGGCGGTCATTAGTGCAAGATAATCAACTGAAACACACATGCAAGGACACATGAGTAATCTTTTAGATTACAGGTGAAAACCGCCTTCAAAATGTTTTATATGAGCACAAACACACACACACACACACACACACCAGAAGCTAACTTCTGCATGCAACAGTGTCTGATCTTTTCATGCACTACCCTATTGATTCAAAGATTAGGCTCTGAAAAAAGGCAACAATTTTGAACCTGCTGACAGAGGTGTCTGCTCATCTTGGGTAAATACACCTCTTAGGCTGAGCTGAAGGCTGTTCAGTATTTATATGTCTGTGGGAAACACCCTTTCAAATTACAATGTGTCATCTCTCCCACTCACACAGTCAGGAAAAATCATCACTGCATGACTCCTCGAAAGCACAAAATCAACACCGGGTCAGGAGATGTTACTAAAAGTGGAGCATGTGTGTTTTTTGTTTTGTTTGTGGAGGACATTGTGCAAATGTGCTGGGGAATATTAAATTAGAAAGGTGCCGTCTCCCAAGAGGAAAATCACACATTACTGTATGTGTCAGAGACAAATTTAAGATCTTTCCAAGGCGTAAAAAAAAATCACCTTTTTCCAAGTATTGTTAGAAGTAAGAGATGTTGCATTATTATTGAGTTATGTTGAAAACACAGAGCATACAGGAAAACTAAACGAGTATGAAATTCACTCTCAATTAATGAATCAGTCTTTATAAGCTCGCTACACATTCAATTAAAAAATACAAATAAATGCACATTCAACTAAACAGTTGGTCTGTGGTTACCATGGACACAAACAAAGTAGCATGCAGTAGAATTGGGTTGCTTGGCAACAGGCCATTTTTAATTATGTGAAACTAGTTTAATTGGTGGAGGAAAATATTCTAATCAATTTGTTTTATTTTTCTGTTTTATTCTTTATGCTGGTCCTTACTTTATAAAAGCAATAATCACACTTAAAGTTAACACGGTGTATTGAACATCAGCACTGCTGTGACTACAACACTTCTGATATTCAATACAATGTCACTTCCTCTTATGTGATAGGTCAATTGCTTCTTCATTATCCGTTACAGCAGCTTTTGATTTACTCGGAGAAGAGTTACACTTTTTGACAATTTCAATAAAAAACACTGAACTCTGCTGTTACAGTGTGGAACGAAATGTTGGAAGTTGTGCTTATAAATTCTGAGCAGGGTTTCCTCTTATTTACAGCAACAGAAAGCTTAGATTTCATGGCTCTCTGTATCAATTAGTGGCAGCCCTACATTTTGATTTTTCTGACCCTGATGAAGGCGGAACAAGCGTCTAATTTGTTAATGAAGTTGCTATTTATGCTACTAGTGTTTTTTGTCCTCTTCAAACCTTTCACTCTTTTTGCACGTTGTTAGTTGGTGAAATTGTTCCAGAAAATCCAGCTCTGCTTCATGATTTTTCAGACCGTCATGATCAGCAAAATCAGCACCAAAATAGCTTTCCTATGTCCCACAGTTTTCCATTCACACAACTTGAGGTCGACAAACACAGTGCAATAAATGGAGTCAAAAAAAAACTAGTGAATAAACAGAACAAATCATTTTATTAACAGTTTGACAAGAAGGTCTTAAATAAAAATGAGTTGTTTATGTCAACGTTATACGGCGCACAAACAGTGAGAAGCCAAAGAGAAAAGAATTTCTGAGAAAAAGTGGTAAAAGCTTTATTCCAAACTTTTCCCCACTACAATCCCCGCGGTTGAGAAAGACACTTGACTTGACAGAAGAAACCTGTAGAAGGAAAAGATAGGAGTCCCTTTATTGTATTATATGATGTGTGTATTTGGTAACTTTGAGGCTTTTCTTTTGAACTTGAATAATAGGTAGCAAGGCTTTCGTCAACAGTGACACGGAGTTGAGGATTAAGCTATTTTTCAGCATTTGCTGAAAAAAAAAAAAAAGAAGGCTTCTTTAACTTCCATATATCTTGGATTCCTTTTGTTCTCTTTGCAAACACACAGAACGCCAAAGCAGTCACAAAACAGCGCAGCTCCAGATCGCAGAACATCATAAACCGAGACGTTTTCTCTCAAACACCGACACAGTACAGACAATTCTATTTGGAAAGGAAGTGGAGTCTTTGTAAACAGTCATGTAGGACAAGTGCTTTACAGCAAGTGCATTGTTTGATTTGTGTGCTTTGAGCATATGGCTGCGACAAGGTGGAAGAAGGTTGTTGTTGTTGTTGTTGTTGTTGTTTTCCCTGGTGGTCCAGTGAAGCCTCAGAGGCAGAGCCACATTCTGCCGAACAGTCTCCACAAACTGATGTTCACAGTCTAACGGTCCACGCGTGTCAAACACATCCTGAGAGAACAACTCTCCCACCTCGTGGCGTTCTATTCATTTAGTCTTTGTCCTCCCTTCGGCTTTGGCTCTCCGCTGTGGCTACCGCGCTGTGACCATCCACAGGCCCAGAGCCACGTTGGCCGCCAGCAGGGCGCTGCCCGCCAGCAGCAGGAAAAAACCAATCAGCTCGCGCTTCTGACGGTCCGTTACTATTGTAACCAGCGTGGCCTCCAGCAGGGCGTTCAGCATCCACTGACCATCGAGAGCGAAACACGGCACTGAGTTTACTACAGCTAATGCACCGGAGAGGGACACCAGATATCTGAGGGACAGGAGGGTTAAGGGCAATAACACACAAACCACACACACGTTTAAGTTTGACGCAACAACCAATCCAATTTTAACAACCTTAAAGTCAAAACCATCGACTAAGTTTAATGCTGATTTCATCTCATGACTCGACACCTATACACCAATTTACCGTCGTCCTGACTCGTCATACAATTGATGTTTTTATTAAAAGAAAACATTCTAAACAGTTAAAGACGTTATTGAGGGTAATGTGATCAGAAGTTGATTGGCAAAAGAAGAAATAGAAAGCTGAATGTGAAAGAAGACGGCAAGATAACGCCACACAGCGGTGACAAGAGGTTAAGAGATGAAGTGATATAAGAGATCAAACTGCAGTGAATAAATACATGAACATCTGTGTATGATACTACACTCTACATTTAACGCCCTTTCATCCATTAATTATTGACTCACACTGATTTAATTAAATTATTACACTATAGTGAGAAAAATATTTCAGGAAAAAGTTATCACGTTTTGGGCTCAGCATCTTGTTACATTATCGACCAAATATTACATTTTGGGTTTAATTACATTTTTTTTAATTACATTTCGGGCTCTTACAGGCCGTTTAATAATCTCCGCTTAATCAGATCAGATCAGATATCTTGATGTATGATTGTCTAGCAAAATATCAGTGAGTTTGGCATTTGAATAATGGCCTGTTCAATAGTTGACTCACTTTTTAAGGCGGTGTCAAGTGGCCATTCAAGGAACTGCAGTTGTTTTTTGTTTTTTTAAATCATAGAACTGGCTTCAGACTGTGTAACCATAGAAAAAGGAATAACTTTCTCTTACAAACAATTAGCATAGGAATTTTAAAAGCACTATTGATCACTTTAATGTGTTGTTACAGCTTTCCTTGGTCTGGCATGACATGCATCTTATGGTTGCTGGTGTAAACAAAATGTAGGTAATACCACCTCCATTCAACAGTCAAACAACACAACTTTTACAAACACACAACTGTGGTAACAAATACCAAAAAAAGAAAACGTTGTTGTTGCTGCAGCAGAGCTTCAATCAGGAAGGTTCACATCTGCATGAAAAGTAGATTGCGTTCAGCTGATCATGCTCTGCCTTGGTCAGCTGAATGCATCTCTTCAGGCCGTCATCAGACTTGTGAAGTGCCTCTTGGCTGTGGGCTAAAAATGATTGGCTGCTCATCAAAAGCAGACTGTTATTCTGACATCACGGACATTAGAGTATGGCTGTAATGATCTGTGGCCATTTTGAAGAAATGTAGTTAAATGTTCTTCACTGTGAGTCAGACGATACTCTATCCCCCAAGGTCATACATTACATGTCTGCCCTTTAAATAAATACATCATTTGTTTAGATTTGGCTAAGTGACTTTGACAGAGGAGCGGCGCTCACATTTCTAAAGCCAGCACCTCGCGCATCCATCACCTGATTACGTTCTGCAGCGCTTCACACATGAAAGGATACTTGCAGAAGGTCTCCAAGAAGACGGGCAGATCCAGGTGGAGGAAACCGAAGCGGGGGATGAAATTGGTCAGACTCACTGAGAAAAGACAAAAAACACAGGATGTGTTACAGTCACAGGAGAGTGTTTCAAACAAACTGTGTGTGGTTGTGGAGATCGGAGCCAGTCGGCACTTTTGTAACCCGGTGAAACAGCAGCAGACGACAGAGCGAGCCTCTTCCTGCACAGTTAATGTCAGGCACTTAGGACTGGAGAGGCGGCCCAGAATAAACTGTAATTATATGAATATTACAGATGTCTCCTTCAAGTGTGGGAAAAAAAAGTATCTTGTTGCTACTCTTACACTGAAATGACAAGATTTTCTTTTTTTGGGAAATGATAACTTTCAAAATAAGACGGCAAAATGCAAAATTCCTTGAAAGATGGTTTCCATGGCAACACGTGATGGAGGATGTTTAGATAAAGGTGGGCAAGGGAAAATGTGTTGATATCTTAATTTAATAAAATATATAATGAAAAGGGGATGTATGGAAACACTATTGTGGTTGCAAAAACTGAAAGTAAATCATGGTTATGTCGTTGGTGATGTGTGTGTCACTTTTTTTGTTTTGGGTTTGTGTGTGTGGGTATTTCTTTATGTGGGTTGCTTGTTTTTTGTTGTTATATTTTCGAAAAAAAAAAGAAGAAATGACAAGGTTTAAGTAAAATGTAATTATTATTTATCACTTTGTATAAGAAATCAGAAACATTTACCAAACTTTTTCTTATTTGTGTGACTCCATCGTACCTAGCTTCACCTGAAACAAACCTCCTGATACACATTCAACATAATAAAAGAATATCTGGAGTGAGTATCCCCCACACGATACGTACCAGAGAACTGGAGGTGGGGCGGATACCCCACAAACAGCATGTGAGTGTTGGGCGGGTGAGTGACTCGGATGAAGCGAGTCTGGTTCTCCAGAGAGGGAGTGACGCAAATGCTGGCAGCGGCGTGGGTGTGAGCGGCGCAGTCTTCATTTGTACGACAAATGTGGGTGCCCGTCACCATCTTACGCACCGGCATGCAGGCGTACTGCAATCACAGGGTTACAGGAGGGGGAAGAAGAATTATTACAGAAGGAATTGTGGGGAAAAAAAGCAGCTTATAGTTTTTGACTTTTTCCAAATGTTTGATGACTCCCCGACTTTCTTTAGTTTTCTTTTATGATGGTGTTCTTATGGTTCTTATACTTCTATTATTCATAATGTATGAAGCACTGCCTGGCCTTGAGACAGACAGCCTCCCTACAAAACATTTGGTTAGAAATATTGATATTTTTAACTTTTTTCAGGAGCCTGATTCATCTTAAGAAGAACTGAATGTACTCAACAGAAGATAACTATCATTAGCAAATCATAGATTCATATAAAAAGGACATTTAATAGTTTTTTTCCCACTTTTATAATGAAGACTAAAACGTTAAAATAGTATTTGTTATGTGTTTACAGTTCTTCTTTCTGTGTGCATTGAGCTCATGTATTTAAAAAAAAGAACTAAATGGGAATAAAAGGAAGTGAATCAAAGGAAATAAAGGAAGGAATAAAAATATGTTTGACTGTCTGAGAAGGATGGAAAACTGCTCACATGATGACGCAGTCACTAAAAGTCCCAGTGTGTGTGTGTGTGTGTGTGTGTGTGTGTGTGTGTGTGTGTGTGTGTGTGTGTGTGTGTGTGTGTGTGTGTGTGTGTGTGTGTGTGTGTGTGTGTGTGTGTGTGTGTGTAACCTCTCTGTCCCTGCTGTTCCTGCCCTCTGGGTTCATGTAAGAGAAACAGAGATCTGTCAGGCTGTTGTTGCTGCAGCAGTCCATCGTTCCATCCAGACGCTTAAAGGCTGGAGAAGAGACGGCGAAGGAGATAAATGAGTAAAAATAAAGAAGATTCATGGATGAGAGAGAGAGAGAGAGAGAGAGAGAAAGAGAGAGAGAGAAAGAGAGAGAGGGAAAAAAATCAAACAATAAAGCTTCATGTCACCGAGGTTTTCTTTTCCTCTGACTGTTCGTTTTGAACGAGTTGATAAGAAAAGGACGGAGTATCACACACTTATGACACAACTGAGATTATCCTGCCGAGTCCTGAAACGTCATCACCGCCTCAAACTGTGTTCTCAATTAACTAACCTCACTTTCTAACACACTGAAAGAATTTAAAATAACACCTGCTGGGGTGAAGAGGGGAAAGTCTGTACACGAGCTTCAGTAAAAGCTTTAATTCTCCCCTTGGGTTGGATAAAAAAAATAAGTCTGAATGAATGATACTTTTCTTAATAAATAATCTATAAATTGTTTTTGATTATTGTTCAGTGTTTAAATGTTTTAAAGATAGTCAAATTATACTCTGGAGCAAAACAGTGATGTCCTTTCATTTGAGTGTTTGGTCTGACCGACAAATCTAAAGCTGAGGATAACGACCTGTGTGTTATAAATAAAAAACAAAAAGATGAAGAAAAGAGAGGAAATTGTCACTTTTCAGACGCTTCAAGCTGAGAATATTTGACAATTTGTCACAATAAATAAATACATGAATGCATACAAACATACATAAATGAAAAACATTGAGTGGCTGCAGATTCATACTCTGCTCACTGAACATTCAGGTGATTGCACCTCTAAAAAAGAAATGTATTCTAATAAAACAGCTTCAGTGTTTGTACTTATCTGTTATGATGAAGTCTAGTTTATACAATGGGAATAATCAGAGACTTCAGATAAGCAACAAGAGCTTCAACTTATTACACTGAGCTCAATTACAGACAAAATTAAATAAAAGAGTTGCTCTAACAAAAATACATCCTATTATTACTCCACAATTAAAAATAATAATAATCTGTCTATAGTGATGTTTAAAGAGGACCTTTGGGTGCCCTCTCTCACCTCGTCCGTGGGCCCAGCTGGGCTGCAGGCTGATGACAGGGACGCAGTATCCTGTCTGCGGGGTGTAAGAGAGGCGAGACAGGCAGCTGCTCCAGTCCTCCACTCCCTTAACCGGACACTTCTCCAGCCCCGTCACGATGTCCCCGACCGACAGACCCCGAGGACCGTCAGCCGCAGAGCCCTGCTCCAGAGGAGGACGCGAGGAGGAAACATGAAGTGGTTAAAACTGGTCAACAAAAAGAGAAGATTGATGGTTTGAAACCTCTTATCTGTTTGTTTGCTAACTACGTAATCTTAACATTAAACACCTTCAGCAGCCAACTGTAGACGATTTAAAATATAATTTCATGCCCCGTTCACTTTGCCTCGATAAAACATCGATTACTGTGACATTGAAAACATGATTTAGTGGAAAAGGAGACTTCTTAAAGGACAGACACACGATAGAGGCATAAAAGGATTCTCCTGTGTTGTTACTCCAAAGTCAAACATTAAATGAACGTGTGTTTAACAGGTAATATATCAGGATAGAAGTAACATTCACCTGGATAACCTCGGTGACCAGCGCCCCGGCTCCGGTGTAGTACATTGGAAACAGGAAAACAGGCAACAGGAAGAGGAAGGCCAACGCTGCCACACACAGAACAAAGTTGTGCCACACTCCTGGAGAGAGAAAACAGAAACACGTACTTACTTTTCAATTGTCCGTTTTACGTTGGAGTTTTTAGGTTTATTTTTATGCCTTAAAGGAGCAATATGTAACTGTGACACCTAGTGTTCAGATTGGGTACTGCAGTCCAAATTCAAATCATTGAAGAAAGCTGTCTCGTCCCGCCCCCCTCCTCCCTAAAGTCGATGTGCACACAGGTTGCCATGTCATGGACAGGGAAGCTTCAGTGTTTAGCCAGCTCTGCATCGCTCCTGAAACCTTTCTGCGTTTTCATTTTCAAAAGCATCTCCAACATTTATCTGAGTGTTACCACGTTTCTGGTCATGCAGCTTATCATAAAAAAGGCTTTTTAGGTCGGGTAGAATCAGTTATATCTGAATCAGTTCCATCGCTGCAACACCTGTTGGTTTGTTGACAGAGTTTTCTTAATGTCTGATGACACAGTAAAGTAATTTTATGATTTAATTAAGTAGATATCTAACATATTGCTCCTTTAAGATAAGTTCTAAAAATAACTTTTGAAAACCTAATTTGGGAACATTAGACAAAAATCTTAATTAAACCTGTCACGCTGATTTATGACAAAGGTGGGACTAATCTAATCTCATGTGCTCATCACATCGAAGCAAACCCGTAGAATTATGAATAACATTTTATAATCCTGCTGTTCTTTAAGTGAAAAGAGGCCTCTAACTTAAAAAAAAACAAAAACAAGGTGATGTACTACAGCTGTGTTGTTACAACAGTGTTGCACGGTGTCTCCATACTGTGTAGGATGTCGAGGAAAAACAGTAACCACCTCTCACTAAAAATAGATCTCTATACCATCTGAATTATGCTAAATGAAACATTCAGTTGACCAAAACCACATCAGGGAAATGTGTCCCTGCCTCTCAAGGTCAAACCACACACTTTAAAAGCTTATTTTTCTGAGAAGGTTAAAAAAGAAAGGAAAAAGAAGCAATGTGGTGACAGGAGACAGCAGGAGGCAAAAGGCTAACCAAAGGAAGGAGGGAGAGCAGACAGGAGTAAGACAGTAGGATATAGTCAATGCTCATTACTGCATCCAACTTAAAGAAGAAATACTTCACCCAAAGTTGTGAAACACGGAGCTAAGGGTGCAAACATTCTACAAATTGACTTTTTACAGTTAACAGACTTTAAAGGTTGCATCACCTCTCAACAGGATTCATTAATAAGCATGTTATGTGAGAGAACCCGCTGCGCACAGAGCCGTCTCCACTGTGGACAGACAGAGAGAGACGGATAAATAAACTCAGCATGCCGTTATGTCACCACTCCCCTGATGGGAACAACATCTCTCTCTCTCTCTCTCTCTCTCTCTCTCTCTCTCTGTCGTGTTTGTCACATGGTTTGATTGGACGTCACGGTTCGGTGCCTGCAGCCGCCCAACCCAGTTATTTACTTGTCATAGTGAGCTGTGGAAAAGCCTTGAGGAATATGCTATCGAGGTTAGAGATGCAGATGGTTGTGGAGAAGCTCTGCAGCGCCCTCTGAAGGCTGCAAACAGCAACCAGAGAGTCCCGGTGTGTCATCTGTGTCCTGCTGTTATACACTCTGGCAGCAAACTGACACAAGAGTGTTTTGCTGCGAGTTAGGAGTCTCAGAACAACAAATCATCCTGACATCCGTTTTCTTTCTGTTTGTTGAGTATAACTGGAATTCAACTGTCAAACATGCTGACACGGAGCATCAACCCCGGACAGTTTGTGGGGCTTAAAAAGGTGAAACTCAAGAACAGTTTCGGTACTTTGTGTGTTAAAAACATTAAATGTACGTACAGAATCGAAAATATTTTATCCAGTAGCAACAGCGGTAGGTTATCATAAGAAGTAAAAATAGATATTTAATTAGCTGAAATTGTTAATTACCATGGTTTTGGCTCAAATTAGCATTAGCATGCTGCGTAAGTGAGTACGTTTTAAGTCTTTGCCGGCTACATTCGTTTTTTAGCTGTTTGGAAAAAAAAAAAAAAAAACGTATCTTAAGCCGTAACAAACATTTATTGATCATCTTATTAGCTTTAAATGGTAGCATACTGCATTAGCGAGTAAGGTTTAGTATTAGCATTCTAAAAAAAAGCTTAATAACTTATTTAAAAGACTTGAACTGACAGTAAATCAGAACAAATACTTTTAAAGTTATCGTTCCGCCTAACATTAGCATTAGCTTGTGATTACCCGCTAGCCTGGACGTCATCTCTTGTTATTGTAATATTTATCTAGAGCCCCCTGGTGGTCGAATCTACATATTGTATCTTTAAAGCAAAAAACGTAGAATTTTTGATCACAGGACTCTGAACTTGTAACAACAATATTTCTAAACTGAGGCCCCTCTTCTACAGGGTACCTCCAAGAATTTGTATGGATTTAAAACCCAAGAAAGTGACTGAATTAATCTTCTAAATGTCATTAAGAAGTTTACAAATGTGAGCATTGTGTATTCACAGTACTGGCTGTATACCCTCGTTTTAAAAGAATGCAAAGAGCTTAAAACCATAGAGTCCAATAATTACCCGGCTTTTTTTATAACATTTATTCTTATTTCCATGAAATCCTTTCTCGTAGTTGCAAAAGTCCTTTCGACTGTTACCTGATCACAGCTTTTCAAAATTCTTCTAGACCAACCTGCATTGAAAATAATCACTTTAACTGGCCCTGACTGATGTCTCCTACAGGCCACCGTAGGAAACATTTATCATCACATTCGAGCGTGAATAACTGCCAGCCCCAGCAATCAGTCTATTAAGATCTAATTTTCTTAATTGCAGAGTGAAATGATTTGATGTGAAGCAGCTGTCTGCTGTTCAGACATTACCGACCTCAGTGTGACCTTCACCGCTGACACAGAAACAAGTTTCTAACAGAATGATTCAAATCCCTGTGATTAACAGCGGTGATCACATTAGCAGGAGAAAAATAAATAATAATAATCAGGATTATCGCCTCCGCTGTACGGAGTGATTGAAACAATCAGTAAAATAATTTTAAAAAAGGCTTACCGGCACAGAAGATGCGGAGCTGCTGAGTGGGGGACACGAGGTTGAGGTGTGTGGTGAACAGGTCGACGAACGCACCGGGATACACCACAAACACAAACATGCCGAAGCCGTTCACTCGCACCTGCTCCCTGTTGGGGGTCAGAACGACCAGGAAAAGAAAACATTAAAAGCTTAACATGACCAGGAAAAGAAAACATTAAAAGCCTTAACATGACCAGGAAAAGAAAACATTAAAAGCTTTAACATGACCAGCGTACTGAGTGATGAGATCCTACATAAACACACTAATACAGACTTTTACAGATTTAGAAAAGGGATCTAAGCGACCTCTTTCACACTGTTTGAATAACGCTGCGTCGCCTCTTTTGCTCTGTCTCTGTAGGAGACATTTTGTACCTTTTTGCATTTTCATGAGATGCCAAACAGAGCTAAAGAGCTTTAGTTTTTTTTAAAGCTTTTTTACTTTTTGATACTAAGATCACTAAAAAAAACAGAGATTGTGTCATTATAAAAACATTTGATAAAAGGAAAAATATTGAAGTATTCAACATTTTGACAGCCTCAATAGAGTCACAGTACTGCATTGTTGATAAAATTCACAAGATCAATTAATATAACATCTACTCTTATGTCAGATGTGTGACCAAGCATGTGTACAGAGGAATTATTTATTCACATGTTAACTGTAGTTTGGACACACCTTAATAATAGAATAGAATAGAATAGAATAGAATTACTTTATTGATCCCAAACTGGGAAATTGTGGCGTTACAGCAGCAGGTTACAAAACACACAATATGAGTAAAAAACACAATATTAGCAAATTTAAACACAATATAATATTAAATACAAAGTAAATAAGCACTAAAAATATGAAAACTAAGAATGGGAATATATACAACCAGGATTTAAAGCATCCAAATGGAAAATAGGAGAGGAAAATGGAACCAGTTTGAGTTTGTGTAAAAACAAAAGAAGGTGCTTTGTGTTTTACCTCAGTGCTGCCACGGCGTGGCCAAGCTCATGTATGACACCGCTGAGCAGCAGAGCGATGAAGAAGTAGGCCAGCTGACTGGTGGGCAGATTGACTCCCGGGACCTAAAGTCACACACATGAGCAGAGAAGAAGAAGAAACATGACAGTGACTGACACAGAAACACAACAAGGGCTCCAGCAGTTACTGTGAATGGAGAAACAACTTGTTGCCTTTATTATATCAACTATGAAGTTATTTTATCACCTTTTTTTATAGAACATTAAATTGAGCTAGAAATTCTTCCGTTTCTTTCTTTTTATGAACTGCTCCATGTTCTCCTGAAGCCGAGCGTTTCTTTGTGGTCTGCACTTTTCCTCCCACACCGAGCTGCATTTTCTGCAGCTCCCAGCTGAATACTGGCTTATAAATGTCCTTCTAATAGCTTCCCATGAATCACATACAGTGATCCACTGGGGATAGTGCTCACATTAATGCACGGCTATTTGACACCTCAATGAATAAAAACTGAGAAGAGGAGAAAAAAAAAAAAAAAAAGGGCCCTTCACATAATTGGGGGCATTTTTTCCGCCCCCTCATTTGAATATTACAAGCTTAGTGTGAACTTTCAAGGACATTAAAAGCTCTAAACTCCACTTAATCTGCGGCCCTGTACACTGGAGAGAGACTCACAACGCTGTAAAAAACTCATTTAAATGAATATATGAGCAGAAGAGCCAAATGTCTGTCTTTGATTTTTATCAAGAGACGCCTCAAGCATATTTTCTTGTTGAAAGGCGACGCTGAAACCTGCAGACAACCCCCTCCTCTATGTACTGTAAAATACAGTTCAGTACACCTGCTGTGCATGTATCAATAAAACATATAAATGTCCAGTTCTGTGTGTACATACCACCACCTGCAGCGCCTGCTGACCTCCCATGCGAGGGTTATTTGTGGTCATCTGAGCGAGCGTCTGCTGCAGCGTCCTTATCAGCAGCACCACAGAGCCCACCATGGCAACAATACCGAACACCAGACCACCGTTGAACCTAGAAGAGTATCACAATTTAACAATATGGAAAGTATTTCAAGCAATTCGATTTACCCCGGGGCCCTGAGAGATGTGTTGAGTGAATCTGAAAACAAAATAAAGGTTCAGGTGCAGAAAAGGTGACAGTGCAGAGGAAAAAGC